CCCTAAGCAAATATCTCTCAAATCTATTGACTGTTTAATCAGGCACTTTAAACCCTCGCGGCGAAAAAATCAAACAACATTTGATAATGACAATCGATTGTCTTTTGTTTTTTGTTGGGGCCAGCATTTCCGTATATAATGATCAAGAATATAATCATCGGCTTTCACTAGTAGATTTTTCAGTACCTACTGGATAATCCGTAAAATCAGAGGTACAAGGTGATAATTGCACTATGCAAATATAGATTGTGCATGAACTAAACCAGTAATTATTTGATAAAGTATTTCCAACTTTGACTTTTCTTAAGTGTGCTCTAGTTACTAGTAGAACTTAATGTAAAGTATTTTTAAGATTTTTTAACTTAAAATGTTATTTAACTTGGCATTTCAATCTTGACTTGTGAATCTAACAACTGACGCAAAACAAAAGGCCCTTTAAACAAACTATTATCGCGAGAACTTAAAGGATATGTATTTATATTTTTATATAAACAAAAAAAGGCATTTCATACAAAACACATTGTCTGAGAATATATTAAGTAGGAACTTAATATTGAGAATATATTAAGTAGGAACTTAATATATTCTAGACGATCAGAAGAGTATTTCCAGAACAAATCAATCGAAGAAGATCGACCATTGGTCCTTCGCGTCCAAGAACCCAAAAGCTAAAATAATCAATTGTGGTAGCACGCAATGTCAGGTCCCGTCAAAATTAATGATACAAAATAAATTATGATAATAATTTAGGTTTGCCTTATACGCAGTGTTTGTTTACACACAATTTATTCTAAGTAATTAAAATTAGTTTTAAAAATAGAAGTGGGTCGTTACTGAAGAGATTTATTAATCTCTTTCCAATGAACATAAGTGGTCGTCGCGTAATGGTTCTATTCAGTAGTTTTTCGCAGAATCACCGCTCAACGATTTTTCTCCTTTAAAGTTTTTTGGTTTTATTTGAGTGGATTCGCCTCGTCGGTTACTCTGTTCTAGAGAGTTTAACTATTGGGTTACAAGCGATTCTGCTGAGTTATGCTCGCCATAAATTCTAGAAATTCCGACACAGTAATTGTCTTCAAATTGCAAACGAGATTTAAATCGTTAAATTATGTATTTTTTTTTCTATACGAATATCAAGTGACTTTATTTATTTTTGCGTGAGAAGGGTATTAGATGGAAATTATAATCATTATAGTAAGTGAATAGGAAATGAATATGTAATTTATTTATATTTAATTTAATGGTGTAAGTAGTTTGATAGTAAACAAATAAAACAAAATTGTGAGAACAATCAAGGATTACATACATAGGTTGTTTAAGGAATTACGGCAATTAACGATTTAGACATAGACATATCATTTATTACAAACAAAAATACCAAACATAAACACACAAAATAACTATAATCAAAGAAAAAAATTAAATAAAAAATATAATGAGAGATATATAAACAAAAAAAATCCCCTTTTCCCATTCGGTTCGTTTTAAAGTGTGCAATGCGTGTGTGCTTTGGCTGTAATTGGCCCTGGATCAGCATTATGCTGAGGAGCAGAATGTTCCACAGCGCTGGTCATTCGGCCACAATAGACCACAATAGCTAGTTTGCGCCACAGTCGCAAAAAAAACCATATATGGATGTAGCTGATATTCTCTTTAATACAATTGCTAGGTCGCCTTCATTATTGTTGTTTCTTCATATAACATGACTTATACTGTGGCATTTTCATTTTGATGTTTACAGAATTCTGGAACAAAATTAAATACAAGTAAAAAAATATCAAGATGGCTATGTCTTTGAGATTTGCATTTAAAAGTATTTCGTAAGAAATATTGTATAAAATGTTGAGAAGTGTCAGCGAACCTTCCCTTGGAACAATTGGTACTGGGTTAGTGCTGATGATGTTTAACTATTTTACTGCTATCCTTAGATTAATTTTTTTTTGCTATGTATTATTTTTGAGTTTAGTTCGTTCTGTACTAATGTTTGATATTTGATAATAACAAACTGTGGTCACTGAGCTTAGACCTATGTACAGTGCACCAGGCTCATGAACCGATTACGAGTTACCAAACATAATAATAATAGTTTATTACCATAAACATGGACAAAAAATACGTATCCCAGGCTCCTGATATAGTGAGAACTGTATTTCAGGAGCCCGTGACTGTGGGGCACTTTTATCAAAGATTAGATAAATATGGATGGAAGGGTTATGTTATGTTGGGACCGCAAGTATATAGCGTACCACAGGATTAAACAATTATGCGATAATGCATAATATGAAATAAAATTCAAGCTCATGGCGGAAACGCTGTTTCTAGTACATAAGTAAAAAGTCTCCTCTTCTTTTGTTTACATACTCCTCTTTGAAGGAGTTTTGTAGTTTTAAGGGAAATACACAGGATACAGATAGAAAGACAGAACACTATTAAATGATTTGGTTAGTTCATAATGTTTAAATTTTAGTACAATTGCGACTACTGCAACACACGCGAGTAGAATAAATTTGCCTAAAAATAAAATAAGGACATGGAGAGGGCAATTTCTATGGGAAAGAAAATTGGGAGGTATTACTAAAGCTGTTATGTTGCTGTCCTGGAACTTAAAATGGCAAGTACGTACGGGATTATAGATATTATATGAGATTGAGACATTGCTAAAGACAGGGCCGGACAGGTCAGAACTATGTAATTTCCAATATATACCGACAGCCGATGTCAATAATGAGTTTTTTTTATATTAAGAGAATTACATCGAACTTGCATACAAAAACATCGGGTTCAATATTGCTGTCACTGTTGGACGTTACAAAGTACGGTCGCAGGTCTAAGTTTTGAAGGAGGACCGAAACCGATATTTCACTCAGATCGTCATAGTCGTAGAATAGTGACGGATCTGATAAATAGTAAACTTTACAGGGCAGCCATTTCAAAATAATATAATCATGTTAGTTTTTGTCATAACTATTTTAATTCGGATTCTGTTATTATGAAAATTGGCTTACAAGCAAACAAAAGGCTTTGTTTTGAAACAAAATAAAAATAATAACATTAAATTACACAGTTTTCTAGTAAAATCACGTTTCTATGAAATTCGTCACATTACTTTAATTTGAAATTTAAAACAGATTGAATTTTTTTCAAATCCGACATTGTTCTACGATCATGACGAGATATTTTGTTTGCACGATTTCCCTAAAATTTCTTAAAACTGTTGTTATTTGTAGCTGTTATTAGGTCATATTAATTTTTCAGACTCTGGTGTTACTAGTGGTAATTTACAAATATATAATACATTTTCTTATCGCCTTCTATTTGGATGAAACCTGGCATTACTTGGATTATTTAATAATGTGTGGAGAAATTATATTTTTTATCGACGTAATATTGCATTGCCTGCATTCGTTTTGGCCCGTGTTACGACTTTATATACGCGTTTATCGGAGAAACTATGCGTTACTTGCTTATGATTTCATAACGATTATTCCCATTTCTACATTGTGTAAGTAGTTTTTCATTTATTTATCTAGTTTTGTAGTTATATAATCAATTGTTAAATAAGGGTCAGAAAAAATGTTCCAGACTCTAAAGCAGTGTTTCCCAACCATTTTCGTGCCTTACTAAAATTCTTATTCTAAAATTCTTTTTCCGCCGTATACATATATTAATATAAAAAATTTGAATTGTTCACTTAAGAAATTCTTACTCGCTCTCTTGTTAAATTATAGGGTTATAGGTATATAGCCTATAAATTATTCTCACTAGATTTTTCTCTACTATATATTGTATAAGACCTTCTGTCGATCCGGAGTGGTGGAGGCCTGATACCTGGGTAACACAGGTACTCTTAAGGGCCTTTAGCACGGCATCAGTCTCACACACAAACTAGCTTTTCTATCAGAAGGCCAATTATTTATTTGCAATAGTATAATGTCCTTGAGTCTAAGTTTTTTATAAAAAAATAAAGATTATATTATTATTATTATTATTATTATTATTATTATTATTATAGGACACAGTAAGTAATTCTTCAAAACATATAATGAAAAACTGAAATTTAAATTTCAAATAATTTTATGAAATTTTCAAATAGCCTCCGTTAACAATCGCCCCCTGTGGGATGGCCCACGTGGGAAACACTGCTCTAAAGAGTCATTAGGACCCGACTTTATTAAAGGAAGCATATTTCAGGATATTGCGGCCATATTCCCTTAAATATACTCTGCGTCCATCTGGGAATAGAACTTGATAAGTTTACCTAATAAGGTTTCAATTACTAATTTTCAGCAAAAAATACGAATGGTTATGAAAATATATTGCTATGTAATCGATGGATAGAAATATGTCGCATTTATAGAATATTTGTTTATTTCAAGAACTTGAATGACTCTGTGAGTATTTGTTTTTTTAAGACTATATTAAATGTTTTTACATACTGTATAAGCATGAAAATAGATAATTTTGTTAATATACGTATTACAGGGTTGTATTGGCTTCTGTCATAGACGTTTTTACGCTAATTTTGTAAATGATTATCTATTTACTATGTTTATGAGACCGCACCGTTTATTCAATCCTATATAACAATTGCTCTATATTATTTAAGCGTTTTAATCAGTTCGGTTTTTCATTGTATTAAATAAAACATTATGCAAAAATTTATATAATTACTAGCAGACTCGGCCAAGCTTTGCTGTGGCTAAAGTTTTTGTTATATAACATAGTAGTAAACTATTCAAGGGAAACGGTAGGAGAACACCATAATATGCAATAAAATAATATTACGGGTATAAATGAAGATGTAAGCTATCCTATCTTTTAAGTTAGTTCAAACTGCACACGGTATGCAAATTTGATTGAAATCGGTTAAGTTTGTCCGCTATGGACTCCTAAACGAGTCCATAGCGGACAGACAACGTGACACGTAATTTATATACGTATATATTAAGATTATCTATATTGTTAGTAGATCGAAGTAGAACCGTGGTATTATATTTCAGATGGGCAGTTCACGAAAGAAATTGTATTTCATAGAACATGCGCTAATAGTAGCATTGGTTTTACACGGTGGCACCTGTATTTGGTATTATCTACACTTGACATCTGCGAATTCTTTTCCTTCGAATATATTAAAATTTTCATCCGAAATGAACGCTCAGAAGCTGCAATTTAACAGGTAAATCACTCAAATTCAGTTGTAATATTCGAGTATTTTGAATTATTCGTGACATGAATATTTTTAGACGGTCCGAAAATATTTTTTTAATTGTTAATTAAGTGTTGCCAACTATGGTACCATATAATCTTAATATTATTAAAATTATTTTTACAGCTACTTAAGTTGTTGGTACTATTGTACGTGTCGCTTGTCCAATTGTATTTTTGGAGATTCATTTCCTTTAGTAAGTATAAAATATGTATTATTTTTCCTTTTACATAGAGGCTTTAATGTACTTTTGAATTATTTGCGAGGTGTTCCCATGGGAATTTAAGTGCATGCTCCTATTTCACCATGCATCCTGCTGACAGAGGACAAATCTTTGTTTTTAATTTATTTTATTATGATTAACTATTGATTACTTAAGGTGTCATGTGGAACATGATGTAATGGTTGCAGCTCCTTACAAACATTGTGTAAAACAAAAATCTTGGCGATTGAAAAGAGTGGCGGAGAGTTTATTGCCAGTTCTTCTCTTCCGTTCTAGGTCCTTGATTTGAGTACTGGCAGTAAATGTAAAATTAGAAGCATTTAATATATATTTCTTTTTTGACGTTCATAAGTGTACATTATACCTTTATGAATAAATTAGTTTGACTTTTTTAATGTTAATTTTGAAGCAAAATTCCAAACCAATATGGGATGCGAAAATTAATTTCACTATAAATGGAAAAAAAAATTGGTTGAACGATAGATCATACATACACAATATTTAGTCTCTTCGTTTACATAGATTAGAGAAAGACTTCCATTTCAGCATAGCTCGGAAAAATGGCTGACATCCTTTCTAATGCTTTTCGGATATGTGTTCATACGGTATCGATTTATTGGTAGTCTGGCCTGGGAATTTGTTTTGGAGAAATATCGATGGTCTATTTTTGTTGATCAGGTATATTTCCATTAATATATGTATGCTGGATTGTAGAATAATTATAAAGATTTTCGTGTAAAAAAAAGGCGTAATATGAGGGTCAACATTTTTTTTCGACGAAGTACAAAAAGCTTTATATTAAAATATACTTAAATATTTTAACATAAATTAATATAACAAAAAATAATAACTAGCCTAAAAATATAATAACTAAAATATGTGTACATATTACATACAGAATTTTTAGTTTTTTAAAGCTTCTTTACTGCGCATCACCCATAATAATCAATCTGATAGGACATAAATCAAACCTAAGTTTGAGTATTTTTGATTGTGTAAATTAGATTGTATTAAGAGATACCGGACCGTGTTGTTCTTCTTAGACCATGGGGCTTACAGTTGTAAATACCTGTAGTTTCAGGTTAACTAGTCGGAATCTAAATTTTTTAATTTCAAATCCATAACCAAATCATTCTGTATAATTCACGCTGGTCTATAATTATCTGAATTTATTGTACTTGTTAATTCTGTATATAAAAGTATATCTTAAGGCTAGGCTTGAGCATTTGAAAGGACCTTTGTTAGCAACCGTTAAGTAGAGGGATAGAGGATATATTATTCTATTGTTTTAGTACCATCAAATGATCCGTTACCTCAAATTTCGTGGAGCGCCTGAAGGCCTAATAGAACAGTCTAAACAATACAAAGAACAGTTGTGGCAGATGAAGGAAGGGGTACTTACGTCGGATCACTTACAAACACTACCCTTTCCTTTTCAAATGGAACTTATCTTTGACATAAATGTCGGTCTTTTTCATGACTCCTTGCTCTTGAGAAATACTGGTAAGTTAAAGAATTAATATGAATTATTTTTTTAAGTACAAAGAATAATTAATAAGGAGGGCAGCGAGCGGCCTTATCGCTTTGGAATGATCTCTTTATCACTGTAAGGAAAATAAATAAGTTTAGCAATAAGTTGAATTTTTAAAATCACTGAAAAACGCACACACGCTTATACACCCCCACACATTGCACAATCCCACACAACTCAGCAAGTAAATTGTTAATTATTATTAATAAAATATATAAGTCTTTGTTAGTACATAATGTTCGTCGTGTCGTATATTTCGTTCATTTTGGCTATATTTTTTTTTATTTCTAAATATTATTTATTTTTTCTGGTGATTATCAACTAACTACTAATTAAATACTTGGGACAGTCTTTTTGTATTTTCGTAAGAAAAAAATCGCATAAGAATATATATTATACACAAATTTAGAATGAAATGTTTCAGTTATCATTCTTTGACGGATTACCAATCAATTTCTTCCAACCCGAAACAATTTTTATTTGCAAACGGTTCTAGCATCATCAGGTATACCACACTAAAACTCGCGGTCTTCATTCGCGGTTCAACATTCTCCTTATTATTTCGCAATTACTTCTCTAGATGAAGCCTTCATGCGTCACATGTCGTTACTAATGAGACATGAGTTATATTTGAGCGGTCAATATATCTGGAGTCAAGGTGTGGTGAAGAACGGCATGATTTGTGTAAAAAGAGGCGTCATCGAAATTTTATCTGATGAAGATGACGAAAGCCCTATGATAGCATTTAAAGAGGGCACTGTAAGTTTAAAAGCCTTATGTTTTAAATTTTTATGTAGACTTTTTATTCGTAGGAATCGTATCAAGGTAATCACGAAGTACTGCTTTGTCAATAAACCATCAAAAAGACATGACAATAAAACAAACGACGCACGCTCACCATAAAACTTAATTCAAATAATTATAGAAACAAATTTATAATATTATATAATATATAAACTATATAAGAAGTGGGCTATGTTTAAATTAATAAAGCAATCAACTTTAAATCTGAAAATTTTATTAATTACATTTAAAACACTAGATTTGTATGTATCAATATTTTTTATTCTTGTATTACATATAAATCATAACCGTGACATATTATAGAAAAAATCTGGCAGCCGTAAATGAATCCAGTGTAAATTTAATTAGAAATTTTATGTGGAATATTTTTATAGGTATTGGGAGAAATAAGCCTTTTTTATTCAATACCATCAAAAGTTTCAGTGAAAGCCGCTACGTACGTTGAACTGCAGGTACGGTACACTTAATTTGAAAAGCAAAGAGTTTTATGAATATGGAATCAATACTGATATCTGTGGCTTAGTGGTGAATGCGTATTTAAAATATTAAATATTTTATTCAAATATTTTTTTTTTTTTTAATAATCCTCCCATTTTTGTAAAATTATAATGTATTTTTTGATAACTTATTTATTTAAAGTGAATAGGAATAACATATTATTGAATTAAAAATTCTATTTTTATTATGTTTAATGTAAATAACTTATTGCTTAATGAGAATAAAAAAATGTATTAGATTTACAACTACTAGCTAAACAATATTTAACCTGAAAATTAAGGAAGTAATAAATTTTTAAAAATTTTTTCTAGATAACAATAGATATAACCCAATGGGCCCAAATAAATTTTAATAGGTAGTTAATATAGTAAAAAAATAATTATATGAAACGGCTAAAATTGTTACATAGTATTTATAGGTTATGTGTAGGAATTTTATGTGAAGTGTGCTAAGGTTAATATATTTGTGCTGCAGAAGCGGGCTGTTCGGGGTATTTGTTGTGTTTCTCCGAGGAGTGGTAGGAATAAGTTTAAAATTAAATATTTAATATCTGGTAATATATTTTGAAGCTTTTGTATGTCAAAAAATATAAAGATTTTAAAACAAATGTGATTTAATATATAAAATAAACTAATTTGAGTGTACGACCAACCAGCTCAAAAGATAAACCACTCCTTATATGGAAATTGTATTCGTTTTTAAAAACTCCCAAAAATTAAAATTATACTAAATAAATTCAAAGCCTCTTAAACAAAATTAATCAACAAAGCTTTTTAAATTTGAGGATACTTAAATATCCTAATCCTTGGGATTGAATTGCTCCAGTTAAACAATTTGTATGAAATATTGGATTAAAAAGATGGCGGAAAGTTTCTTGCCATTCTTCTTACCCGCTCTAGCCTTGACTTGGAATGGTAGTAAATGTAAATTTACGATTAATTTAACTTGAGATTCAAAAGTGTACTTGGTTACTATTGAATAAAGATATTTTGAGTTTGAGTTTGAGTTATAGCAGGTTTTGCTGGCTCGATTCCCGAAAAGATTCTTTCTGACGATCCCATTTGTATGTCGAAATGGTCATTGAAACAGACACAGAAATGGTTAGCGCCAAGTCTACTTTCAGTGCCCCATGGCCCCATTTGGTAGTGCAGAAAGTAAAATTTATTGCACTGTTAAGAATATGTTTAGTTGTAAATATAGAATACAATTTGATTGTCTTATAAAAAAAATGATTGTGAAATTGTATTGTTAAGGAAAAAACAAAAAAAAACAGGACTATTTACTATAAAAATAACTTTAGAATAGCATTTTTTATGTAAATTATATTTAATTACAATTAAGTTTTAAATATATTTATTCTATTTCGGTTTAGCAGATATATTCTTCCAGGTACTGCATCGAACAGATTTTTTACGAGCAATGACAGATAATCCTGCCATACTTCAGAAAATTCGCGAAAGTGTTGAATTACGACTAAACACTTCCAAATCACGTCAGGTACATACACAAATTAATCTACTATCGGTTGTGACTTGGGTTGGCCAATGAGCATTTATTTTTCAAAATATTTTGAAAACAAATATTGCCTACGTTACTGAGAGAGAATGTATGCTACATTCTAATGGTGATAAAAACTGAAATCGGTCAAGCGGTATTTTCAGTTTATGGCTTTCAGTATTTAAATATGACGATGTGGTAAATATACTTTAGTGGATATGGATCCATATATTAAACTATCCACTTTAGTGGATAATTTATTATATAGATGTAAATTCATCATAAATTAATATAATTATTCAATTCTTTATTCATTTAAATTATTATAATTATTCTTCTCGATATTGTTAATACATGTAAATGGGAAGTCACAGGCTTCTGAAATACAGTTCTCACTTGATCAGGAGCTTGGGATATGTGTTTGTTATGTAACGTATTTCTGGAAATAAATAAACAATTATTATTATACGTTAGCACAACACACATTTTTCCTCTAATACGAGTATAACTGCATTCTACTCAAACCCATATTAAATCAGTAAAAGCTAATGGGCCTAGCACAGTTCCACAGCGTTTAAAACATATATTCGTAAACTCAAAGTTGGTGTAGTAAGTTTTAAGTTGTTGTAGGCCGCCATCTTGAAACACGACGAAAACGATTCCCGCCTGATTCGTACTCGATACCGACCTATGAAGATACTTAAGGATCGTTTGTGGGACGTCGGAGAGGAGGACTCGATGTTTATCGATGATTCTCATATGTATTACAGAGGTTTGTTAATATGTAGTCTAAGTTATAAAAGTTCAATTGACATTCTTTATTTAAGGTTGATAAATTGCACTAAATAAGCCGCCTCTTATTTTTTTATGGACTATCGGAAAATACTAGAATTTTTGTGGAACAAATCGTTTGACTTTCGTGATTAATCCGACGAGTTCGACTAACGCCCAAGCGATTGCCCCGCCGCGCCGGTACCAGTGCTCTGACCATCATTTACCATACTGGTACAAAAGACCCACTATTTTGTGTCACTATCTCTCGGCCTAGTGCTTTTGCAATGAGTTGTCGTTGAGTGAAGCACAACGCAAGTTTTGTAATCGTTTTGAAATCCGCTGTTTAAGTGACGTCCCTAGTATTCAGTTAATTAAGTCGTGGGTAGAAAAGTTCAAACCGACAGGATGTTTACTAAATCGCTTAAAATCGGCGCTGAGAGTTGAGACTTCTTTAGATGTCTGCCGATAACAATAACTAGGCAATAATAACACAGGAATGTAATATGTAGCCATTATTTATTTTATGTACCAACCAAAAAGTCATAGAGGAGACGAAAATGGTTTTCATGATACTTGTAAAAATCTCAAAATGATGACGTCATATAGCAGATAGGAAATGGTGATGAACATTCACAATTTCAAAATAATGGAGCATAAACTAATTATACTCGTATTACTAGTGGCGTCAATTTGAAGGTTTAAGTTTTCATAGAATTAAGTAAAATGCAAATATGAAATCACAAACAAAATTACTATAAATTAATTATTTTAACTTCTAAAAATATTAAATTTCAACCTTTTATTCAATTACATTTAGATGAGAACAATAAAAAGCACAGGAAATTCACAACTGACTATTTAGAGCTTTACAAAGTAACGGGAAATGTCACCACTGTGGACTCCCCTCGACTTTGTCTCAGAGCAAGCTTTCCATGGATATTGGAGCCGGATACTGATTTCGTAATTATCTTTTGTTTATTTACATCCATTAGCGCTCTGTTTACTTCATTTATCGTATTTTTGCATCTGTGGAAATTTTTAATTCTTAATAATAAGTCTACTGTAAATTAATAGGTCTAAGACGAGCGTATCAGCAGTGTTTATTTAATTGTGCACACAATAAAAACAGGGCTTGAACCATGACCTTAAGAGTGAAGTTATAAAAAACATCTAGTAACTAAACAAAAATCCCACGAAATATTCTTATTTTTATTTTTACACAACGTGAATGTAGACTTCTTGCTGTTAATAAAAAAAAATCTACTATTATTATTACTTCATTCTTTTTATTTTTTTGCGTCTGAGGCGTAAACTAGCTGTTATGGTTTCTGGCAGAATTACCAATGCTTGTGGAACACGTCTGCTCACTGCTCAGCATAATGCTTAGGGCCAGTTTCAACCACAACACACACTTAAAGTGTACCTTATTCATAAAAAAATGTTCTTTTCTTTATTTTTTTTGACTATTATTATTTTGTGTGTTTCTGTGTATGTGTTTCGTTAGTAATAAATATTATGTCTTTGATATATTGTTCTGAGTAGTATAATTAATAATTATTCAAAGTCCAATTTTAATTTTTTATAGTATGTAGTATATAAGCAATAATTCAAAATCGTTCATTACATCACATATTACATATACATATACTTCAAGCTAATTGTGTTAGAGTTATGATTTTTAAAATTTGCTATGTCCAGCTGAATAGTTTAAAAGGCAGTTTTTTTTTGTTAATTACTTATAGTAATAGTCCCAAGCCCTTTTATCAACTAGATAATCGTTAACTTTATAGTAAGCCTTTTTACACAGCTTTTCTTTAATACATTTCTTAAATTTATTAAAAGGCAGATATAAAAGAGCCTCTGGGATTTTATTAAAGAAGAGTATCCCTTTTCCCTAAAAAGAGTTACTAACTTTAGATAGTCTAGTACGGGGAAATTGCAGCCTGCGTTTGTTCCGAGTATTAACAAGTACATATTTCTATAGAAATATGTTGTGTAAAAAGGCTTACTATAAAGTTAACGATTATCTATCTATCTATTTATATCGTGTCCCAATGTTCGTTGCCATACTATCTATCTTTCAGCTACTATCTATCTTTCATAGCGATATAAGGTTAACGATTATCTAGTTGATAAAAGGGCCTGGGACTAGTGCTAGACAGGATACTTCTAATTAATTTGCGATCTTTGTTTTAAAATAAGTATTGTTTGATGATTTGCTATTTTAAAAGAGTACCGAGAGTCTTTGTCTTGAGTCTCTCGGCCTACACCCTCTGTCTTCTTTGCCGATGAGTAGGGATGCCTGCAGTTTCAAATTTAATGACGTGGAATAAGTGATACCTGTATCTTATGTTCCATAATAAACATATTTTATTTATTTTTACTATTGTAAAAATTTACTATTGAAATATGTACGTACTATATATTTAATTTGCCAGTTGTACATTACCGCTTTAACAAGGCCTTTGTTTTTTTAGACGCATATGTTCGACATAACACATTTCGCTATGGTCCTATACGTTTGCTTCATGTCTCCACACTTAGCCTTGAATTCAGTACAACACGATTGGGAGAGAGTACTGAGTACAATCGTGATTGCGGGATTGTTACTAAACATCTATATACAACTGACGACTGCTATTGTTGAGAAGGTATACTTGAAATGTAGACGAAGTATTTTTTGCTAGAACAGAATACTCTATCGTAATAGATTACATATAGACCCGCATTTTAATAGTTATATCATCTTTATTTTTTGTTCAAGTTTAAAATAGGCGTTGATCGTAGAGGGTGGATGAAAATTAGAGGTGGTATGTATTTTTGTATGTTGTATCATAAAAAAATAAAAACAAAAAATTTGGCTAAAAAATAAAAATAAATTGTTTGGGGTGGACACCCCTTATCACTTAGGGGTATGAAAGATAGATAGTAGCTGATTTTCAGACTTACTGAATATGCATAAAAAATTCATAAGAATCGGTCAAGCTGTTTCGGAGGAGTATGGGAACGAACATTGGGACACGATATAAAATTCATATATTAGATTTTATTTAGTCCTTGAAGCATAACGTAGTAGCACTTATTCGGCAATTTTCTATCCTAATACTCTGAGATCAAAGCCTATGAAATTATCATTCAATTTGAAATACTTTTAAAGATTTTTGTAAGATAACTTTTCAAGTAAAAATATTCTTTGACTGAATAGACTGTTATTAGACTTGGCAGAGAACTTTTCTTTGATTGCATTTTGCAGTTTTATATCACGACTGCGATCCGCTCCGTTATAATGTACATTACACATGTGTATACTAATGCTTACAACGTCTTCTTCATACTTCAAGACAGCGATTAGGATGAATCTTTTATCAATTATTATTAGTCCATGTTTTAAAGTAAAACCACGATATACGTCGTAGATCGTGCCTATTAATTTATTTAAATAAAGTAAAGTTGTAAGAAACTTATCACAGTAGCGATATTGTGTATATTATGTGTTTAATATTATATAGGTACTGTTTCTCGACATTATCGTATTGGCATAGTTTGTAAAGATAATGTATGTATTTCTGTAATAAAATCATTTTTTGTTTATTATTTTACTGACATTTATTAAGTCGTCAAATATACAACCATTCAGATTCAAATTAATTACTAAATTGTGTAGTTTATAATACAATATTCAACGTCCATCGAATGGCCTAACCACTAAATGAGCTAAAACCACGTTTAAATATCAAATGTTATGGAAACACAAATGAGTGGTACAAATATAAAAAATACCCGTAGAAACTATTCTTTATTAGATATTTACTTACATACAGAGCAGTGTTGGCCACTTGGCCACTTGGCCAGTTGGAGGTCGTAGGTTCGATCCCCGGCTGTGCACCAATGGACTTTCTTTCTTTCTATTTAACATTCGCTCGAACGGTGAAGGAAAACATCGTGAGGAAACCGGCTTGCCTTAGACCCAAAAAGTCGACGGCGAGGATGTCAGGCACAGGAGACTGATCACCTACTTGCCGATTAGATTTACAAATGATCATGAAACAGATACAGAAATCTGAGGCCCAGACCTAAAAAAGTTTGTAGCGCCACAGATTTTTTTACTTACATACATATTTGTGTACAAGGGTACTTATTATGTAAAAATAAAACTTTAGCTACATAATCTTTTATCTTACAGAAGGTAAGAAAGGAAACTGTCAGGGAGATAGCTGAGCAGAAGATGGCCACCGTTGGCTTTTATCTAGACGTACTCTCAGTTTTCCCGGTGTATATTTTCACCGACACATTGGACCCTGGCGGAGAAACTATTAGTAATCAGTTGGCTGTTATGTTCCCGATGCTACAAGTATGGCATATTTGGGATTACTTCAGGATATGGGAAAGGAAATTTAATAGTAACGCGAAGGTTTCATATTTATATCACAAGTAGCTTTTAGTTTTGTAGGTGTAACAATGCACCAGAGAATTTGAAGCATGTTTTCATACTAATAATATATTTCTTATATAAAGAAGACTTACCTTAGATCTCTGTGACGTTTTTGGTCTGACTGTCTTGACTGATACGTCGATTTTCTCAGACGAGAGAAGAGAAAACCGACATTATTTCTCGCGACCTTTTCTGCACCAAGTTAAGAAAGTACAGTCAAATTTGGGCTCATAACAAGAAAATTATGTCTGTGCCGGAGTTCGAACTCACTTAACCACCAAGCTCACACATATATCGTCCGGTTTTCGTCTAGAAAAAATAATGAAAAAGAGTCAAATGGAAATAATTTATACTTGTTCGTTACCATGACTCTTAATTAAAATAAATGATACCGTTATTTATTTGAAATATGACGAGAGAGTGTTAATGATAAAATATTTAATAGCTAATTTAGCCTTCAACGTTTCCGAATTTACTTAAAATGAGTTCGTATTATAAATATTTATTTATCTATTTCTTAACATTTATTCTTCTGTTTAATTACTTAACTTATAACTACTAATCTTATTTTTTTCTACTAACTATTATTATTAATACATTATTTTTCTTTTTTTGCGACTGAGGCGTAAACTAGCTGCTGTGGCCACTGGCAGAATGACCAGCGCTGTAGAACAGTCTGCTCCTCAGCATAATGCTGAGCCAGGGCCAATTACAACCACAGCACACACGCATTACACCTTACCTTGTTCTTTAAAAGAAAAAAAAAACAATTGTTATCTTTCATTCTTTTTTATATTTTTTTGATTATTGTTACTTTTTGTGTTTCCGTGTGTGTGTTTTGTTAGTAATAAATCTTATGTCTATGTGTTAGTTATTAGTTTGTAATTAAAATATTAATGTTTATTGTTACAGATACTCTGCTTACTAAAATATTCATTACTATTTGTTATATTTAGTTATTGGTCAGGTTGTTTATTATACCTAACGGCATGTCCAAGGAAATTGTGTAATGAGGTTTGTTTTATTTATAATAACGCGATAGTTCATAATAGGGCAGAGGAGAAAATTTTTCCGTTTTTTCCTGTAAAGTCGGTGATCAGGTCTCTGTTAGCCAGTAATTAATATTTTACTGGATATACTCTTATGTTTAGCCAATATGAAGAAACCAATAAATAAAAGTAACTAGGCTTGTAAAAGTTATAATTGTAGAATTCATGGCTCGTACAACTAATATACTGGGAAACAAAGGTGTTTGTGACTAATAAAGCTAAACACGAAATGCCACAAGTGTCGTCGTTTTCCTTCGGCACCGCTGTATTTACTGGCATCGGAATGTCCGAAATTGCTCCGGGGATTGGTGATTTATTTTTGGTAAATAAACAATTTTAAGCTTTTCAATATAATATATATAGCGAGCTAGTATACGTACTATCTTTTATGTAATTGTTTTTAAAGAAACCGCGGCCCAATCTCGGCAACACTGTAAAAACGTTTACCAAATCAAAAAATAATCTAAAATATATATATATATATAGATAGGCAATAGTGGGTAGGTAGAAAATAATTTATCGACATATTGTGGACAAATTTGAAGATTCGGTCTGTATATATGCAATTCTTTTAAAATTATCATTCCTAATCACCATCTTGGCATTGTTGGCCGTTTTTATTCGTGAGTTAAACCTAACTTTGTGGTGGAGGCTTATTTGGGACTCGCTACTGAACCCACTAAAATCCCACGCACTACGGTAACATCGTAAGCTAGTCCACATCAGGCCACACTATCAGCCGTTCAAGTCACGGCTCTCAGGCCTTAACGGCTATTTATGATCTTTAATTGACTTCGGCATAGTAAGGACCATACTCCCATCGGTCCGATCACCCTGGTTTGTAGAGCTGGTCCAATGCTTGTTAAGCAAGGCCAAAGCCAAGGAATGTTGACACACCCGTAACCTGGCCCCTGTTGGCCTATCCTAACTTCCTCCAAATTTCTCATGTTCCTCGCAAAATAAAAGCAATAAAGACACATCACTCAAACATTTCTAATTATACTTGTGCCCTTGAAGAACGAAATAGTATATCTTATATATTTATTTTATAGTTAATTAGCGATAAGAAACAACCCTCTTATACAAAGAAAACAATCTCTAAATGTAATTAAAACAAAACACTATCGTATTTCTAGCTTGTTAGCCCCTAATGAGTTGTTTCAGGTTGTAGTACTGCTCATCTTAGGAGCGCACTTGACTTGTTTCTATGTCGCTAACGTATGTAGCGTCTTCTTGCTTGGAACACAACGGAAATTGAAATTTAAGGTACGCCGGAAATGCTTTGTGCCTTTAATGTCAGCGAACAGGAAATTTTTCTAGTTTGAATTAGGAATACGTTTATAAAATAAAATCTTTTGAAATTTATGGGTGTTACTAATAACCAAAACGATACTGAGTTTTTAAATAAGTAATTGTGATAATTAGACACGTTTAATACAATAAAATGTTCTTAATATTTTACCCATTAAAATTATATGCAGACATTGAATGACGTAAATTGTATTAACTTTTGTAATGTCATTAAAATTTCGTTTTACAGGACTCCATGAGAGAGCTCTTTTATTTTCTGTCTGTTAATCGCGTGAGTGGAAAAATTAAGGCTAGAGTGAAGAAATTTTTCTCAGTACAATGGTGAATATATAGTATAATAAAAGTAAACAAGTTTGTAAAACATTTGTACATATGTGAGAGAAAAAGTCACATATAGCTCATATATACCACATCTGGAGTATCATAGGTTCATATCTTGGTAAAACAAACATGCCTTACAAGAACCATTCGTCACCCATGACACAGGGGCTTACTAGTAGTCCCCGTTAGATCATTTTGTCACAACCATATATCTGTCATAATTAAAGATTAATGAAAAAAATAATGAATTATTGTATTAACTGTTGCGACTGTGTTTCTACAGCTCCTTCCTTTGAAGTGATGTAATACCTCAAAGTAAAGTTAAAGGAAGGCTAAGTTAACGCATTGTAAGGAAAATTTCAGGTATTATAATAGTGCAGTTACCAAAGAAGAAATATTCAAAGATATGTCTACTAATATACAACATGAAATATCTTCTATAGAATTATTGGACACATTGCTTCTATGCCCTTTATTTCAGGTAATTTATTTAATTTTAACGCAGTGTGGATAAGTTTATATATGCAGATCTAAACAGTGATAGTTTTATGGCTAGTTCCAAATAATATAGAATCGATTCAGTAGATTTCTTTTTAATTTACCCAAACATAAAAATAGAACAGGTGCTTCAACATTGCCCTATATTCGCATCGTCCAGGCAAGACCTGGAGCAACAAATGCAGATGACTATAGACGTAACGGCATACAGGACATATTAATAAAGCACAGATCGTGCCTGGAATGGTTCTGCGTAAAAAATATTAAATATATAAAGGCGGCAAACGAAACTGAAAGAGCGGGTCTCACGAAGAATTGCGCCCCGCTCGCCCATGAATATTGTAAATAAAAATATTACCGATGTAGCCGGGGCGGGCGTATTTCGCGAGACGCGTAACACACGATTCGTGAACTAGTTTATTATAATTAATAATGTATCTTGTTTTTGGAAAAATTTGAGAGGTAGAAAATGTCCCTGGACACAATGGCAGGGGAGTAGAGTATTATTAATAATAATAAAAAAACATTAAAATAAATTGCAAATTTCAAGATATTATATTTTAGTAAAAAAAAATTGGTCCAGGTGTTAATTCAATACAAGTCAAGCATGTATAAAATCTATATAGCATCTATCAATCTTTAGGGCATCGTTACTATAAAATAAAGTCCACTTTGTCTGAAATTTCTTAACTCAAAAAACCACAGAACAGTTTTTTTTTTATATTCACCAAAGATTCCTTAGGAAGGTTAAATATATTCAAAGGGTTAAAATAAATATAACAATTATTGTTCAAGAGATCCCAAAACCATAAGAAATTCTCGTTCAATCTGCCGGCGGAAGTTAGTAATATGAAATAACATAATATGATAAGAGAAAACTCTTTGATAACAGGAATGCAGTCGTGATTTCTTGCAAACTGTCGTTGCTAACACGAGAACAATAGTTTTACCAGACAACGAAATTGTGCAACATGCTGGCGATATCGGTCGGGATATGTATATTATACAAAAGGTAAACTTATATTACTTTAACTAATACTTAAAGTGCAGTTGTACGCTTTAAATATACTTGAATTGGCCATATATTGGTATTCATACTGTGTGTGCCAGTGATTATTTCATTAGTTCGCTCAGTAACGTTAAAGCTGCCCGTTGTAAAATAGTAGGTATATGTATTTTTTGTAATTGTTATGTAATAAAATAAAATAAAAAGCCTTTATTAAATTATTTATTAAATTAAAGCCTAAAATTAATTTACTTATGACTAAAAAACACATTTTGACTATTAACTAGAGTTTAACTAATATACTTACAATTTTACTATCTATTGATTATCGGCAAACGGTAGTTCGGTTACAACTTGTCTTCCGACAAAGGCCTCCTCTAAGACTCTTGGCTAATTGTTATGTAAGTGTAAATAATGTAATGTACCAATTACCTACCAGTGCACAGTGGCGCGAGAACCTAGATCTGGGCCTCAAATTTCTGTGTCTGTTTCGTGACTATGTTTTTTCTAAAAGGCAGGTAGGTGATCGGCCTGATACACGCCGTTGATTTTTTGGATCTAAGGAATGCAAGTTTCCTCAGAATGTTTTCCTCCGCCGTACCAGCAAGAATTAAATGCGCATATGACCCTACGAACTCAGAGATTCGTTTGCTGAAAACACTGAGCCAACACTGCTCTGAATATAACGTTATATTTAAATATTAATTCATATATTATTATTTGTCCATTTGATCCTACTCCTCCCATATATGTTCCGATATATTTTTTACGTATTATAATATAAAAATAGTATATTTCTACATATGTTAAGTGCTAGATTTGGTATACTGTATTTTTTAAAGCGCTACAAAACACAAGCATAGCTCTTTTTTCAAAGCACTTTGTATTTTTTTTGAGCGCTAACACATCCATAACTTCGCTAGCAGCAAAAGTTAGCAAGTTGCTATGGGTTCATACTGAATGCCAAGCAATTTGAAAATGTCCAAAAGCCCCGCTGACTTGAGTGCCTTACCCCTGAACTCACATTGTTTCTAGGGTTATTGTAATAACCTCAATCAACAAGGAAAAGTGGTCAAATCAATCTCCCCTGGTTGCTTCTTTGGTAGTACTGAGATGTTATATGGACTACCTAAGGTAATAAAAGTATTTTGCTAATTTCTGTTTATATGTATTTGCCTTATTATAGGTAACTTGAAGTATATAGGTAACTGGAGTTTACAAGTTAACGTGTTTCGTTTACATTATGAATTCTAATCAAGTATTGCAATGAGCTTATTGACTTTTTTAGTACCAGCAGGCTTACCATGTAACTTTATTAGCCGTACCTCGATTCCGACTTCATTATTGATTTGGCGTACCACGTTCCAAGCTACAACAGTGCTACGAATTTGTTTCTTTAGAGATATATCGGTTTTGTTAGATGACGTCATTAATATTCTTTGTTTGCGGCTGATAGTCTTTACATCTACACTAATATTATAATGGTGGTAGATTTGATTGCTTATTTGTTTAAATTGAATAGGCAAAACTATTGGACCGATTTTAATTTTCACCGTTAGAATCGACGAACTATAGAATATTTTCAAAAAAGTTAGGGTTTCGTGTGAAAACGTCGATAATGTTACCAAAGATGTGACAAAAATACCTATGAAAAGGACATCAATATCTACAAATAATCTCCACGATACCATATGTCTGACTTATATGTATTTAAAGAAAACACTTTTGAACCGGATTAAAGTTATGTATTATTATAAATTTATAATAAAAATTAAATTAAAAAGAGTTTTCTTTAAATGTCTAAAGGTTATGTCAATAAAAGACAATATTATATGTATTTAATAAAATAAACACTCAGCCGTGCGAGGTCAGCTACGCTATTATAAACTAATTATTAAGTCAATCGTTACAAAAGCAGTTTTCGCGAACTACCACAAAGTTACGTAATGCCAGGAGGTAGAATATAAATGCAAAGTGCTACAATGAATCAAGCTGGAAGTTTAATAAGCAAGTATTACAAGTGGTAATACCGCGAACTAATTCCAGGTGTATACAGTGCTGACAACGACAAATTGCATATTACTGCATTTGGAGTACACTGCACTGGTGCAATGTTGGAGCACCTTTCCTGACATCAGTCACCCCATTATAGCGGTATGATTCATGCATTTAATATTCGAGTACATGTCAGCGGAATGTATGAGGAATTTTACGATGTTCATATAGGTGATACTGAATTTTATTATTGTACAATGCAGTATAGGGACATTGGTGCTTTTAACTCATTTGTTTATGCATTAAAACACGCATTTTAAAGCATAGGTAACCAACTATGAACACGTTATATACATTCACTAACAATCTTAACCAACATCTTATGAAGCTGTCCTTTTTTTTTTATAGAACGGTGCAAACGGGCAGGAGGCTCACCTGATGTTAGTTGATACCGCCGCCCATGGACACTCTACTGAAACAGAAAATATTCTTATTGTGCAACAATAGTTTAATTATAAAATGTGTTATGTAGAAATTATTTTCAAGTATCGTTAATATGTCAAAAGACTAGCTGCCCCCAACACGGAGAATCCTAGTGTGGTGGCTAGTGCAATTTCTTTTTACCTAAATATCCTTTTTATTGTGTATAATAAAGTTATTTATTTCATATTTCACATTAGTAAATCAAAAGACATGAGAACTTACGAAACTAAAACGGTTCTATATCCATCTTACCAAAGGTGAATTATAAGAATAAAATAATTCATTGGCGCTACAACCTCTTTAGGTCTTGGCTTCACATTTATAAATCTGTTTCATGATCATTTTTATATCCAATAGGCAAGTAGGTGATTAGCCGCCAGTGCCTGACATGCCGTCGACTTTTTGGGTCTAAGACATGCTGGTTTCCTCACGATGTTTTTTCATAAATTAGCATTTTTAGAATATTTAAAGTTTATGGTTTTATCCTCCTTTATATTTCTCCAGATAGGTTAAAACAAGATATGTATTTACTTTTCTTCAGATAAATAGAACCATGTTCATCAAAGTCGAATTAAGGTGCGCAAAGAAAATAAATACATTTTCGCATTTCTTATATTGTTCTGTACTGCATCGTTCATTTCTGAACTCAATTATCCAAAGCAATTATAGTTTCTAACTATACAAGGATATTTCATATTTGCCGTGAAAAACAGAGCTTCGCGAAGCTGAAATTGCACTCTCATAATTGTAGTGAAAATTAACGTTTCCATTCAGACACTTCAAGATCCCACGATCCGCAAGCTGACGTCACTTTACGAGGAGGCCAAACCCCTTGTTGGTAGAATAGATGCCAAAACTAATAGAATTGCGGTGAGTTTTTTATAGAATATAACATATTATTTCAAAAATCTAACAATTTTAACACAAAAATTTCAGTTTTATCTATGAAAGTTGTTATATCTGTAAAAACATCTGTAGACATCAGTAAAACTGGTGTAGCGGTTATACGAACTTAAATTCTATCTACTAAAACTATTCTATATACTTTGAATTTTTTCATATTAAGTATCTAGAATATTAATGACAAACTATAGTAGTGTAAGTGTTGTCAACTCAAAAAAAAAAATTATAAGTCTAAGGCCATGTTAACATGTAACGCGCGTTATCGCGCGTCAACGCGCGATCAAATTTGAAGAGAGTTCAGATGATGAGCGCTAATGCGCGTTGCGAGAGTACTCGTCAGTCTAGTTCGGTAGAACGTAGAAAATGGACGTGGAAGAGGCTATTATTTTGTGGTTATATTATAAAGAAAAATATAGAAAAAGAAAACGTACACATTGGGTTCATCCAATTTTGAAAAATAGACCCAGTTTGTTATAAATATAATTACGAAAATTAACAAAATTACATGCGATCGCGATGAAAGCGCGCGCTCAACTGAACAGCATACAGACATTACATTAATATCAAAGCGCGCGTCAACGCGCGATCACCTGCGTCTAGAGACTTTTCCTCTGAGCGCCGCGTTGACGCGCGTTAACGCGCGCTCATGTGAACAGTTATATGAAAATACCACAATGTCTAGTCGCGCGATTTGAAAACGCGCGTCAAGTTTTGCCATCTGAACATAGCCTAATACTGCGACCTTAAATTTCTGTGACGGTTCTCTTTCTTCACATACTCTAAGAATACCCACTGCTCGATTCTGCAGTTATCTAGGTTTTTGATGAAATTAATTTTGAATAAATGTTGAGGGAGTATATGGATTAGCAATAGGGTTGTATTAAAATTTGCCGCATATTTTTTGTAATTAATATGCTGATATAATTTGCAACTATATGTTTTTAAATTAACTTAACGTCATTTTAAAGGAAGTAATGTAAATAATTGAATAAAAAACGTACGGGTTGCCTCGTGTAAACAGTAATTTTTGATAATCTAACACAAATCTAACTTTAATATTATCACAATTGTAATAGTAAGTCCATAATGTTTTATCAAAATGTATAATTATTTAAAATGATAAAGTGAACTGCTGTTTGAGCAAAGGTAAATAATAATTTATTATTGAGGCGCAATGGGAAACTGAACTGTCCAATGACAAATTCAATAACGTCTTTCAGTTTTGACAGATTCCATATTTAAAGTTCGCTGGCGCAAACTCTATGGATACCATAGAGTTGGCGATAAAGATATATTTTCCGATTTAAATGGTATTTTTTTAATAATAAATATATTATATTAAAAATAATAAGTCATAAATACGAAAACAATGTACTTCAAAAGTTAGTACAATAATAATGAGAGTATTGTGTTTTTAATCTTGTGAATATTTTTATTACAAACAATAGCTGAGTACTTAATACATACACATGTTATTATCAATTAGCAGACCGTATTCTTTCGAACAATGACTTCTTATAAAGTTCGAGTGGCGTTCCGTTTCAGCAAGAAATAAAGGAAAGTTTCGTCATATTGAGTGGCCGAGAAGAAAAGCGTCAGTTTCTCGACGCATTTGAAAAGTTGGGAATTATGAAGTTAGTATCGATACTTATGGGAAATTGTCGGAGGGGAACGTTTATACTTTATTGGAGTATTGCGATCGTAGTTAAGAGGTTTAGCAGATTAGCCCAGCTTACGTAGATCGATCAAAAGCGGTAAAAATATATAATTTCATGAGAAATGTATTTCAAAGAAAGCGTCATGATGTAATTTTGTATAGAAAATTCGATTAGAACATCGATAGACTTATTATCACAGCAAAATTGGAATGTAGTCATCTCTTGAAGAATTCAAATTAAAATTTCCTGTCATAATATCTGCTTATAGTCAATAGTAACTAGTGCATTTAATGTCGAATTTAAAAAAAACTGATATTTCTAACCCGACTGTTCATTAATCTACACTTAATTTTTACAATTTCATACATTAGATTCAAATGGTTTATATACTTTTAGATACGTTCGCTACATATTTTTCCCTGGAGTGATAACGCCGCATGGTGTATTTTTGAAGTTATGGTGTACACTGAGGTTTTTAGCAGCAATTTACTACACTCTATACATTCCTTATAGTATCGCAGTAAGTACTTTATCGTAGTAGTAAATTTAAGTTACTCAATTTCAAGTAATCCTTTGCCTCAGCAACGCTTGATAAGTCCTTTCTTAAACTATTGTTATATAATAAATAATAAAGCCTTGTTTTATTTCAATATCCTTAATTTACATTTCAAATGTTGTCAGTAGTATTGTTAGTATTTACGTATAGATAAATGTTAGTAGTAAAATGTTAGTCGCCTGTGGATATGGACCCCTCTTGGGTAAAGCCCTCTTCCAACCCTCTCCAGATGCCTCTATCTTTGCCAATAGTCTGCCATGTAGTCATAAACTACTGTTATTCATTTCAAATTATTTAGCCAATCATACATGATGCACTGAAGATTCTTTCTTATATGAATTTAATGCATCAAGAAATATTTATCAAATATGTTCTCAGTTTATTTTGCGTCTCGCAATGTTCACGTTTGCGATGTCCCGCTTTAGGCCAGACATATTATACGATAGGCGTGTCTCATTAACTCCAATTAAATTTGTTTTAAAATACTCACGTGACCAATTAAATTGATATCATTCCTATATATTGTCATACGTCACGTATCGTTGAGTATTTATATAGCCCTGGCCACATAGTCAAAGAATCTGGATACGAGTGTAATTAGTACTAAAACAACAATCAGTGTAATCCTACCGTTTAAATGAGATACCGATTCTCAAGTACAGGTTATATGTGACACTTTCATTTAAGGCTTACAATATGAAAGTGGCAGAGGTTAGAAAGGCTATTGTGATGATATTATTACTTCCAGACAAAACAAAATAAGTTCGGAGGTGGCTACAACTGGATGGATATATTTTTGTACCTGGATATTATTGTAATGTCCTATGTAGCGTATTACAATGATAGATCTGTACTCGTTACACACCCTCTTCTAACCGTCTCTCGATATTTGAAACATGGATTCATTTTAGATGTCCTAAGCGTTTTTCCTTTAGAAGAATTCGTAAGACAGTTTATTTGAATATTAAAATACAAATATTTGTAAACATTATTGATGAGTCTGGACCCCAAAACACTATGCTTTCTAAGTAAATGAATATTACATCTTTTGTATTAAAATGAGAAAATTCTTTCTAAAAACCTATTAATTTATATTAATTGTAAAATTAATCACCACCCGGCATAAACCTGCCGACTAAAACATGTCTAAGCCCATTGTTGATTTGTGGGTATAATAAGGCCATTTAAATACTCATAAAGCGAAAAATATATTTTACGGAAATGTTTAATGACTCTGATGTTCAAACAAATATAATAAATTAAAAATGGATTTCTTCTTTTCATAAAAGTTGAAAGAAATAGTATTTCTTGAATTTCAGTTCAGAATAATCAACGACAACTCTGACCTTGATATGTTTAGATTGAACAGAATGTTGTTGGTAAGTTTTAATTAAAATTTCTTTGTTCATTCTCTATTGTTTTACCTTAAAATTAATTGACAAAATTCAAAAGTCTAGGAAAACTTGTATATTAAGATTTTTAAGCAAAACGTATATGATTCATGTGCCTGATTAGGTCAGATCACTTAAAAGAGTGAACGTGATTCAGATTCTAAATCCATCTATTAAAATAAGTAAAAACCGTAAGCCCTGCGCACTATCCATTAAACAATAGTCGCAGAAAAAGTATGTCTGTATTTGATAAGAGGATAATTTGTTGTTCAATTGTTTCTAGTATGAATATGTAATGTATTACTTATAAACTAATTTCAAAATTTTATGACATGATGTTTTGAAGTATTTAACCAAACACATCGCTTACCATATTAGAAAGACGAAGACTGGGTTCACACGGCATTGTCCTGCACGTTTTTTTGCAGTATACGTCTTAACGAATAATTAATAGTGGCACATGTATTGTACATAGACCCATTCACACGGCGTTTGTACTGCAAAATATCGTACACCGTTTATACGTAACGAATACTCAACGGACTTGTCAAGCAAATCGAATGAACTTTAACGTTAATTCGGTTTAAAGGGGCACATAATATAGCTCTGTCTCGTTCTCGCTCACTGTGACAACTGTGTGAAGACTGCAGCTATTCGTATTTTACACGAATGAAAATTTACCATGTGAACACCCGGGTGAAAGTACGTTAAAAAAACGAATACAAAGAAAACGTGCAGGACAATGCCGTGTGAACCCAGTCTAAAGAACATAGACGTGAGATTTAAATACTTAAAACAATTTGTTACATCACCCATTAACAATTTACGATATCCAAATACAATCGTGCTAAAAGTGGTCATTAATTATTTCTCAATAGTTGCTTTTTACAGGTCACTCGAATAACAAGTACATTTTCATATTGGGAAAGTGATATAATGCGTGTTAACCAAGCTGTGATCTTACTAAAATTCTTACCCCTAGTGGTGGCGATAGTTAATTTTTCGACTTCGCTCATATTCATGAGTTCATGCAGGACATATTTAAAACCAAAATCCTATTTTATACGTGTTGACTGTTCGAAAGCGCTGATTTTATCCCAAGCTATGCAGAATGAAGAGAAATGTTAGTACTCTTTGTTTAGACATTAAATAGAAGATAATAGCAACCCGTAATATAAAAATAATTATAAATAGTATTTATTTTATCTCATTGATATTTTTTTATATTTAATTCTTTATATACTTGAATTAAGTTCATAATCGTTTAGTTATTATCAGAACTAAATACGTAGGTTTTTCCACACTTAGAACTAATCATTTGTCTGAGTCTGTCAGATTAGCCAGTATATATATATACACATATAAGTAGGATTATATCATACATTGGCCTGAAATTTTTCCATTTATTTCATAATTAAAGGACCTTGCCTATCAAGATAAAGAGATCAATTTAGTTGAGACTTATTATTCATATAAAAATAAATAGATTTATAATTTTAGCAATGATCTCTTATCGGCTTAAGAAAGACGAAACAAAGCAAAAAAATTCATTAAAGTCATTAAAGTGCAATTTATTTTGCAGATGCCATCTCAGAGTACATTAGCATTTTCTACTGGGTTTTTGAAATATTTGTTGGTACGTGAACTTTAATTATATTGTCTTTTTTTTTTTTTTTTTTTTAAACACCAATTGACCTAGTCCCATGCTAAGCTGGTGAAGCTTGTGTTATGGGTACTAGGCAACGGATATACATTATACATACATATTATAGATAAATAGACATATAAATACATATTTAAACACCCAAGACCTAAGCACAACACCAAATGCTCATCACATCGATGTTTGTCTCAGCCGGGGATCGAACCCGGGACCCATGGATTCGCAGTCAGGGGTACTAACCACTAGACCAATGAGCCATCACTTTGTATATGAACAACATCTTGTGCTGTCTGAGGAAGAATTCCTGTACGTTGTCTGGAAATTGTATGTTAAAATATCGGCTGTAGAATCCAATACGTCTTTCAAATATTAAAATATTTGTATCAATATTTTTTAAAAGAGTTTTATACTTTGATAAACGCGATACACATACTGTTTACGTTAACCGTTCGGATCTTCAGATACTATCTAAACACCTACACATACAAAGTGCAACTGTCGGAAACGTGCACCAGCGGCGGATTTATCTATTTACTTATCCATAAAACAAACACACAAAATATTAAAAAAAATACAAAATGTTTAATCTATTGCCAAGACACGTGTTTAACCTATTAAGACAATTCTTCATGGAACCAGCTGCTATTCTAGAATAGCAGCTAGGTATTTCCAAATCGCATCTTAAAGGCTAGCAACGCACTTGCAACCTCCTGGTATCGCGGGTGTCTATTGGCGGTGGTAAACACTTAGCTCTTCGTGATCCGCCTGCTCGTTGCCTATGGAATTATAAAAAGCCTCATTAAGGATTAGCGTGATACTTAATAATTTCCAATTCATGTCACATGCACATACCTCAAGGTATTCGTCAATTTCAGGATGTGGATGCACTCCTGTTGGGATATTAAACGCTGTTGATGTTTGGCTGTCTATGGCACTACAGATAATAGGAGTATTATACTTTGCTTTTATGTTTGGTTACATTGCCTCTACCAGATCTGCTGCTGTTCATGGATTGCTGGACCATAACGTAAGCTGTAATCAAAAATATTTACGAGAGAAACATTCCTTATGTAAAACGTATAGTCAAAAGACTATAGGATATATATATAGGATAGGAATAGGATGTTTAGCCTGGGAACTAAGGTTCGTGAGTATTACGAACTTTGAACGTTTACGTGCGAACGAAAGTTTACGTGATTTCTTAATATAATTTAATAATTATTGATTTGATAACTCTGTAAGACACATGATTTATCTATATACTACGATATTTGGTTGTAGTGCTACATTGCACCACAATAGAAAGCCTTGGTAGGGAAAAATAATGGCGCATTAATTTAGAAAAAAATGAAAAAAAGAGCCGCATATTATGTTTTAATAAAGTGGACTTATTATATAATTATAATAAGTTAACACGGTTCTAGGTAGGTAGTAGGTATTGCATATATTAATATGCAATCAAATAAATAATACACGTGAAATAACTACAAACAGTTAATATTTTAATTAAAATAATGTATGAGGTTAGGTAAATGACAAAACCACATATAAAATCATTTATCTAGAGTTAAAAATGGATTCTAAATATTTCTTTAAAGAATACAAACTCATTCATATCATGTAAAACACGATAGCATTGGAATGAGATTTAAGAAGATCAAAGCAAATTGCGGATTTTAAATATATGGCAAATTAGCGATGCTCACGGGGAACCGGATATTAAAGGGTTTTCCTTCCACGTGACATGAGAGATGAAAAAGAAAAATGGATGAGACAACGTTATTTTTACAGACATCAATACACGAGCTTTTGAATCAGAAATCATCGTGTATAAGACGACATTTTCCCCCTATTACATACTTGAGTCTCTATAAATGGTTAAGTATATACAAATATTTACCAAATTTCTACGAACAGTAACACAAACTAACAAATACTCGTTTTAAATGTTATTTGTATGAAAAATCCAACGACTCGTTATTATTACATGTTGTAGTCATGATATTGAACTTGGGTTTAAATGATTAAAATAAATATGAACACATGACGAAACTTAAACTATGTGTCAAACTGTCCATTTTTGCTATGACCGAAAAAAAATAGGATATTTGTAGAAATTTCTTTAAAATATGTATATGTGTATATATAACTTTTTAAGTAATAATTAAATACCATGTTAATTGTTATTATACATATATTTACATTTATTTATAGGTAATATGATAAAGAGTAAATATTTATAATGTTCTACTGTTAAATAAACTCTAAATAGGTAAAAGCCGACACAGTCTGCTAGTTAACAATAAATCTGAAAGCTTACTAAACATTTAAATATTACCTAATGCTTTAAAGAACTTTATAACGACTGTTATAAACTCTACATTATATTAAACATTTCTTGTACTTTGTAAAATGTTGATACAACTTTTAATATCTCAGGTAAAAAATGTTGCGAACAAAACTTTCGTCATTAAAACGTTATGCGTCCGTACAACAATAATTATAGTTACTTTTAATGAGCTCAGTTCTCGTTACTTTAGGAAAATACGAGGGATTTGGAAAACTTTTTGTATCAAGAGAATGTCGATCCAATACTCACTGTGAAAACATTGAAGTATTTTGAATATGTTTGGAAAAGGACGCACGGGAGTAATCCACAGGTATGAAGGTTTTAATTAAACGAACATTAAAGAGTTTTTAGAAAATCTATGGAACGTTTTAACGAATTTGATCTTAATGTAATGAATTTGTATGTACAATACTGGCAAATTTTGCGATTTAAAGGGCTTTGTAGTTGTGTCGTGGGATTATACACTATTTGTATTATTATTTTGAAACAACCTGTATTGAAGATTAACATTTAAAAAATTGCGTCTTTTATTTGATGAAAGAGTTGTTTAAAGTATGTTTATTGTGTCTTAGTCGGTAATACATTTCTTCTGTAGGATATTGTTAATTGATTGCTATTGAAGTATATGAAAGAATTTGCTTATTACAGATATTTATGCTTAAAAAAGTTTTTGTAAATGACTTCTTTTTTATTTCTATTCTAACGTCGAATGTGGGATAAAAAAGACTAAAAGAGCCAAATAAAAGTGCTAATTAGAAAGCGAAATTAATCTACACAACACAGCAATACCTTCCATTTGGGTAACTAATTAAGGCTAATAAGAAGAAATTATTACCACAAATAAAAAAGGTCGACCCCAATTGGCTTTTTCATATCTCCGCCCACGACAAATGACGTTCATTACGACCCATGAAACCTTGTACATGTTTGTATGTTGTACCTAATATTATGGAGTAGGTAGTAGACATATTTCTGCACCTGTTCCATTAATGCTTACTTTTATTCAAGGTCATCTCAAATCAAGTCTCGTCTGTGATGTGTGAATTTAACTTTGACTTGTTCGTTAAGAAAAAACAATATAAAGAAATCGATATATCTTCGACCTAAGATCGACAAAATGGATACAGTTGTCTAGAGTCTACTTGCCTTTAATATTTGCATATAAATTATTTTTGTGTTTGCGTTATTATGAGTAAATTTTGTTTTTAAAATTTTTATGCATTTTTTGGCATAAGCTGTAAATGAGGTTGTAGCCCCACTATTTAAAATAAAATATGTTTATTATGGAATATAGGATACAGTTATCACTTATTCCACGTCATTAAGTATCGGTAGACATCCCTACTCATAGACAAAGAAGGCAGAGGGTGTAGGCAGAGAGAAAAAGCTGGCGTAATAAACTCTAGGAACTCTTTTAAAATATCAAATTATGATATTGATATTTTTACTACAATAATTTGGAGTGTTCATTGTTTATAAGCAAATTAAGGGCTGGTGAAGGCCAGAGATGAATCCCCCAAAAAAAAACAAAATATATTTAAATCACTACAATAATTGAAACTTAATTAAATATGACTATTTAATCGACCCGATATGAGGTGTACGACTAATAATATATATTATGGACTTATTACTAATTAAGAATTTGACCGGTCCGATGTGAGGTATCCGATCAAACTCAAAGCTATCGATGTATGTTGTACGCTTCTTTTTAAAATGGTGTTGCGTCAGATAGGTATTGGTTATGCGGGGCAAAGGGAGTGAAATGTATATATATCAAGCAGATAATAATATGTTTCCATTGCATATCACATTAGGGCTACGTTTCTATTATATATTAAGTATATATATCTAAGGTCACATAAAAACATTTGTAATTGTAGGAAATCTGCCGTGGTCTGAATTCCGCACTAATGGAAGACACACTCGTCTTCATGTACGAGAGGGCACTGAGAGAAGTGCCCTTGTTTGGGAAAGTAGAACGGTCTTTTATCAGGGTCATTACACAACACCTTCACGAGATGTACTTCCTAAAGGGCGACACTGTTGTACAATGCAAGGATATACAGACAAATATCTATATTATTTATAAAGGAAAGGTTGGTGGTATTTTTGTGTGTAGATGGGATATTGTATTTTAATATGTATATTGATAATAATATATGTAATGTATTAAAACGATAATTCACTCAATATTACGAGTATTTAAATTATTCATTTGAAACTTTTCAAACGTTTTGCAATCTGAAAAAATAAATCCGTTTTTGCTAAGAAAGTGTTACATATGATTAATTAATTACAAAAAACTGCGCGATTAGCGAAGTCAAATTAGCAAATATAAAAATATAATTAAAACCAGTTATTTTAATTCTTATAACCTTAGCCCCGCATTATAAAAAACCTTTATCTTTAATTTTAATAATTATTACTAAGCTATATGCGTAAATATTATAGATGATATAAACTCAGTTTCAATTGGATTTGTTCACATTCGATAACAAGAAAAATAATTTATATTTATCAAAACTATGCACAGATATTATTAATTAAATTAAGTAATAAAGAAAATTAACCAATTATCAGGTGGACGTTTTGAGTTCGTACAATGAAATGATCACGTGTATGGGAACTGGAGGAATGTTTGGCAATTTTACCGGAGTAAGTAAATATAATATGTCAATAGCAAGCAAAGTGTTGTTGTAAGTTTCATTTCAATACATCTCTACTTTTGTGTTTCTTTTGAGATTGATGAAGGCTGTATCGCTTTGTTAATTTTTTTGCAATTGTATAGAATAAATAAAGAGAATCACCAGACTGGCTGTTCCTTCATTTGGCAGTTTAATAAATGTCTAGAAAAGGTATAGAATAAGGTAGTAATAAGGATGCAGACTCTATTTCTAAGTGCGCATTTAACATCGCACGGTGAACAAAAACATCGTGAGGAAACCGTCATGCCTTAAAAAGTCGACGGCCTCTGTCGGGCACAGAACTTATTAAGTAAATCTGAGGCGAAGGCCCCAGAGGTTGCTGTCCTTTTGGTTAGAATAGTCGTAATCTCATATCTCGTAGCTGAAATGAATGAGCCCGGTCTGTATATATATCAAAGTATTAATCTACTTTCTATTAGAACGCTATCTATTAGAGCTAATGAAACGATTTTTATTTTCTCTATAGCAACCAATGTCTAGTTCGGAGGTGGCAATATACGCTAGCCGTAGTCTGGATCTATTGGTTATACCGTCGCAAACTTTTTTTAATTTAATAAAGTACTACCCGAAGATTCAAGGGCCATTGAGGCGGGCGTTTGAAGTGTCCAAGGATTACATTTTACCTATATCAATGGAGAATGAAGATGATGAGTCATCAGGTACTTGTGAAAATCAGAAATTGCTTTTTTAATTTTCATATAATTTTAGGGAAATTAAATTTATTTAGTTAGCTAGATGACGAAGGGTCCTTTGTCAGCGTAGACTTAGCTCACAAAGAAGTATGTACTGAAACATAGCAGAATAAGTCTCTGTATACGTTAAAAGCAAAAAAAAATTTCAGAGGATTCAGATTTTGAGAATCTGTCCCAGGAATCGGGTTTTGACTCTCGGAGTGGTTCTAGCAGATTTGACTTTCCTGGTATGTTAAAAATTTCAATTAATTATATTGCAACACGAAATTGTTAAATAAAATGCAGTTCAATTATTTTTAAATGTTTAATCATTGGTTTTTTAAATAATTTAAAATTGTTAAATCGTTCTTACAATTATCGTACTAGTTGGTCGTTAAATATTTGTTTTTGTTTACATAACAAGAAATACCTACGCAAATAAAATACTGTTTATCAAATTAAATTATATATCGGACGCTTATTGATTTATGAAAATATTTTATAGTTTCGACCTCGGTTCGTAGTTCACAATCTACAAGCAATGTGAGCCAAGCCAAGTCAGCGGCGAGCGTTCAAACTTACCAGAGTTACATGGACGTCAATAACTTATTGAAACCCGGTTCGAGATTGTTTCAGGCTAGTACAACGACGATACGTTACTCGAAAGTAAAAACGAAAATTAGAAGGCTCTAGCGTCGGGAAAATATGTGCTGAAGCCAGTTCCTTCCCGAACACACATTTCTTTAATTTTATAAGCACAACAAGTTCGCCGGGTCAGCTAGTAGTAACTGAAAATAGCAACAAAAAATTAATTACTATCTATTATCTACAAGTCAATATACTTGGCTCCACTCGTGCGTATTGCTGCCAAATTACATATGAAAATTGAACATACATCAGAAAGCGCCAATACTTTATTTTCAATTGCTTCGTTAATCATTTCTTACGATTCCGTTTTTCAATTACGTTTTTTTTAAATATAAGAAATAATCTATTTAAGCTTTTTGTTCTAAATAATCAACTACTAAAACACTAAAACCATATCTACTTATTTATGGGTGTGTTTGCTGTTTTTTTATATTCGAAAGCAACCAACGACTGTGTAAAACCGCATATGAATAGATAGCTGGTGTAAATAATGGTAATTCCATTGTTTTAATGCTTAGCAACATATATTTACAACTAAAGGTTCATATACCCTTCACATATAAGTACTGTAATTTTTAGTTTAACGCTGTAATTACATGGAGTGGATAGGTTGAAGCAGCGTGTCATCGAATTTTATCGAATTATTCTACGACATACTTTTCGCACACCATAGGTCGCCATACGAGATATTAAATTTCTTTATTTCAAATAATTATTTTCTTTATCCAATATCCATCAGATCGACCTTGGACTGCCTGATATATCTTCATAAATAAATATATATTAAAATAATTTCAGGGTTTTGGTTATCTATCAAGTATAATGGCTACCTGTAATTACATACTAATTTTGTACGAAGTGATTACATTGAATGATTGCACCGTGATATTTTGGCTTCAGTCGTTGTCAGATATATTTTTCTATATAAAAATTTATTTGTCATTGAATCAGGTAATTTTAATTTATTTAATATTGCTTTAGTTCTTTAACAGCTTAATTAGTAACGCATAGTAAACTGACGCCCATTGGAACTTCCTGTATGCGATTTCCGGTGCTACAATAATTTCTCCATTACAGGCTATACGCCTATTCGTGACTACAACAATGTATGTGTGATGTGTGATATTGAATTTAAGAGTTTATGGATATGTTTTACCCTTATCCTAAGATTTTATTTTATCACTTATAGTTTATAAAAAGTAATAATAATATATCTTTTAATCAAAATGTCTAGTTCACAATGGGCACGATTTCCTTTGCACGGAATAAGAAAATCCTTTATATCTGAATTGATCGGTGTACTAGTCATAAATAAGTAAATTTAAATTTGTTTCTCCAGGGCTATGTGAACAGGCATGGTGAGCTCGTAATGAATTCTGTTAAATGTCGAAAGCGATATTACAAACATAAATTGTGGGTTTGGAGCGATCTGATCGCTAACTTGCCGCTCGAATTGTTTGGCTTCTGCTTTCCGTAAGCTTTGCCAACTATTTTTAAATTATTTTAATTTATCCCACATCTCAGGACCCCTTTTGCGATCCAGTTAATGCATTTGTTGTCTATATATCACCAGAACATAACAAAATCTAATAACAAAAATTCGTTATAACCGATAAATTTTTTGTTTGTTGTTTTTTGTTGTAATTGGTAAACTTACCGAACTCACGCGTAAAATAATATGTAAGCGATAACCAAACTGTATGTTCGCTTACCTAACCTAACTGTTTAGAATCTTACGAATGGATATCCGTTAGTTTATAAATCAACCACGAGACGTGGCAAATTGACAAATTTGCTAAAATGTGGACATAAAATAATACAAATTATCTCTCCTTATAATCCTACGAAATTACTTGGGAATTTTGTTATCTTCCGATGACATATATATTTATTTCTTGTTGGTAGACAAAACACCTAATTTGAAACAATGATTTTTTTACTCTTGACACGTAATGCTCAAATTATATTTTTTAACACAATAAAAATATGCAAAATAGTTTTTAAATTGACAAATGTTTAAGGTAATATAAAAAGGTAATTTATCCAATTCCAATTAACAGTTAAAATAAACATCTTCAATTAATTGTTTTTAACAAAAAACCCAGGATCAAAGCAGTTTATTGATAATAAAGCAATATTTTATTTTGAATTTAGCTAAGCAAAGCGAATATTTTTCAATAAATCATTATTTATTCAAATCCCCAGCCGTCCACTGCTAGCTATGCATTATCTACGAGTTAATAAATTGTTTCGGCTCAAATACCTAGTTGAGTTTTATCGGAAAACTTCAGCTGAACTAACAAACAATCTTACCACCCTACAGGTAAATAGTATCTTTTTGTATTTAATGTACGATGAAAGAAAAATTGCGATATTTGTTTTAAATAAGTGTTGTTTGATGATTTGCTGTTTTAAAAGAGTACCGAGAGTTTTTTACGCCGGCTTTTTCTCTCGGCCTACACCCTCTGTCTTCTTTGCCGATGAGTAGGGATGCCTAAAAGTTCAAATTTAATGACGTGGAATAAGTGATACATGTATCTTATGTTCCATAATAAACATATTTTATTTTATTTTAAAGGATTTATGAGCATATGTTTGTCAAAGATAATAGGATTTAATTTTGACATTGAAAACGTTAATAAGTAGTTCAGTTAAGAAACTATGAAAGTAAATTATAAATAATTTTCTTAGGAAAAATATTCTCGCTAATCACACACAAAAATTCAAAATAAACGCTAATTGACCTGGTAATCCTTATTATATATCAAAAAAGCCCATTCTCAGAAATATTTATATATTACTTAACATTTAGTTTAGATCTTTTTATATATATATATATATTTTAAATTTTATAGTAAAACTAAATAATCAAACTCCATATACGGATTTTAATATTTAATTGTTTTTGTCTATGTTGGTGTTAAAAAAGTATAAATTTTTCAGACTGCCATGACAATATTCATAGTTGCACTTCTTATACACACGTTCACTTGTCTATGGTTATTGACGTTAATGGCAACTTCACCTATAAGTATGATACGTACGCTGAAAATGCATCTTCTTGATGAGTAAGATGCTTCTATTTAATTCTTACAAATCAGCAGCGCCTTGAATTATTACAGTTCTTTTCCTTAGACTTTTGTATTTTTTATCATCATCATCAATAGATACCAGGGTTAATACAATGAAATACTAGTTTTATGAATTGACTAGGAATCGATAAATTAATAAACATGTTTAATTTAGCCCACGAGTCACATGTTCAAGGAACATAGTATTTATAAAAAAATATCAAATACAGATACTGAAATCTGAGGACAAGACCAAGGTTTTTTTAAAAATAAAGTTAAGCATATTATTACATTTTAGTTATTTAGGATTGTCTCTTAATGCTTAAGAAAATAAATGTTTGTTAAAAGAATTACACTAGTTTTTTTTGTACAACGCGGTCATGGTCACAGATATGAAAATTTAATGACGTGGACTATAGAAATTGTGTAATGTGAATGTTATTTTAATTAATTATATTTTTCGTGAAAAGAATGTAAATTGTAATAATATTCATGATTGAAATCATGTTGATAAATTGATTTTACTTCATAACTTTTATTTGATCATTTTTCAGAGACACGCCACAAAGGCGTTGGGATTATACCACGTCGTTCTATGTAGTTGTGTCTGAGTTAACATCAACTGGTGGAGACGAATTCGTTGTGAATGGGGCTATCTCTATGATAATATTAGCGATATGTTTCATTTCCGGAAAGATACTGGCTGCTATAGTTGTAGCTACATCCATACAAATTGCGTATTCATCGAAGTACGCCTTGAACAAATATGAAAAGGCGACTACAGAACTTATTGATTATTTGACAAATCAAGGATTATCGAGTATGTTTAAAGTCTTTAAATTAATTTATAAAATATACATTTCGACCCACATATTTTCCAAACAATTGTTAGACTCTGCTGAGAGAGACCCGCCTTGACGGTGATGCGACCTAATGATTCTTATTTGTTACGCGTCATTTTATTTGTTCACAATAAATACATACTATGTTTTTCATATTCTATGTCAATATGTTTAATGTTGAACTATGATGATATATTAATGTTGTCAACATTACATTGAGGTAATTTAGCACTGCTGCGACCTTAAATCACATAGTTCTCTTACACTTGATACTTTTTTTGAAGTGAAACTTCTTTATCGTGGTTGGAAAAAAATTTAGTGTAACATTTTTTCGTTACGCGTCACATTTTTCGGTTACGCGCCATGTTGCTTTTTGAAGTCAAACTTCTTTATCGAGGTTGGAAAAAACTTTATGGGAGAAATTTTGTAGCAAATCGTCACGTTTTTCAATGATAGTAATAATTCTATTACAATTAATGAAATTCTATAATAATCTTCTTAGTAACAAGGTAAAATGAAATATTTGTATTCATGTCTATGATAATAAAAGCCTTTTGTTAAACTTTATCTAATTTAACGAATTTCTTTAAATGTTTTTATTTATTTTTTTTTTAAAAAAAATTTTTTTTTTTGGGGGTTGGGTTTTTTTTTTTTTTTTTTTTTTTTTTTTTTTTTTTTTTTTTTTTTTTTTTTTTTCGTTTTTTTTTTTTTTTTTTTTTTTTTTGGGGGGCGTGGTCACGGTTAAAATCATTTAATAGTTGTGAAATCTATAATTACATATTAATGTTAAAATAGTTTTATTAAATGAATAAAAGTTATGTAATCAAGACAATATAGTAGATCATTTTTCGAAAAATAAGATCATAAAGAAGTTTCACTTCTTACGTGTGTACACCTAGTACACGCACAATTTATTTTCTATATTTGTGGGGACAAATATAAAAAATATTTCGAACTAAGGAATCTTGTATAAACCAAAACATGTGCTCTCGAGAGGAATTACATGTTGTCGTTATGATTATATTTCTTTCATAGCTTACCAAGTAAAGAAGTTTTGGACGTACGTTCGTCAACTTTGGGTGACGGAGCGTGGGAGACAGGTATGCTAATTAAGAAGTGATAAAGAATTCTTTTAATATGAATTTTCTCATGAAAATTTTAAATATTTGTATGAAACTTTTTGTGGCATCGTAAATTACGAACAAATTTACATACTTATTGTTTGTTTTTAATACTTAATAAAAGCATATTTGTTTTTTCCATGGGCCGACCTCATATCTGGGGTACGTGTCAGCTATAGAGTGGATTTGGCGCGAATTTGTTCTGTTCCGGTTTCTGTTAAGTACTCTTAGAAATGGATAAAACTTGGGTTCTGTTTATACACGGAGTGTTCTAGTATACACAACATACTATTCAATGTTACCAAAAAAATATTATATACCCAAACGGTAGCAGTACAATCTAGCATTACTATCAACATATAAACTCAGTACCTTAACGGACCATTTAACCAAAACGAGAGTATATTTTTATTAGCTCCCCGTCCTAATATTGAAAACCCCATATGTGCTGCGCTGTGACCTTATGTCTGCAATGTTCGGCCATCACCTACGAAATTGCTATATTTTTGCTGACACAGGTGAACCGTTCCTACGTCAGCTTACTGTAGTATTGGATTACAAAGTTTATTTCCCAGGTAAGTAATTTTTGGAAAATGTTAGTGTGATAGTTTTGATACTAACGAATTCTATTTATCATAAGTCGCGTGATATTGTATAGAAGAAGAGACAAAAGTATCTACCTCATTTCAAATACATATTACATCATTTTTATATATTTTAAGTAATTATTATTTTGTGTTAAGTATTATAATTTCTGTGCGTTGTATAACCAGTAATTCCTTATCTGTATAAACTGTAATAGACAGTGTATTTTCCAAGGAAGGTGGAGTTATAATTCGTTATGGTTTTAATTTACATAAAATAAACTAAAAAAAAAAAAAAATTTTGAAGAAGTCATAATCTGGCCAACCACGATATTCACGCGGGTGAAGCTGGAATCTAAATATAGACTAAATTAATAGATAATAATTGTATCATTAATTATTATATAACAGGTAACTACATAGTAGTAGCGGGAGACAGTGAAGCACGCATGCATTGGGTGACCAGTGGAACAGTGGCAGTACTATCCGTGAAGGCTGATCTGACGGAGACCACACACGAGATGTTATGCGTAGGCGACGTATTTGGCATATTACAGGGGCTGAATAGAGGAATTACTCATTGTTTTTCATACCGCGCTGAAACTAAGGTGATTTATCCTTGTGTTTCAGTACCAAGGCTTTCCGATATCATTCATATATTAATCGTCAACAAACATGTAAACTTTGTAAAAAAATTGGCAGCCTTTGAGTATAGGATTTTTTTTTTTAGATTGAGATTTTCGTTTTACTATACGGGCTTTAAAAAATTATTTTACTATAACGAACTATTGCTGTATCTATACACTTATTCCTTCCAATTTGATTGCTTTAACATTCTACTATCACAGCTGAACTCAGTTTTTAATAAATTTCATTGGTTTTCGGTCAAGTCACATGCCGGTTTCCGAGCGATACATTATTCAACTCTAGAACTTTAAATAGGTATAGAATCTTTCAACTTATAATAAAATACTTATGATTTTTTCTTCATACACTTTCTATGAGGTCTTGGAAACCCCCTTGGGCATGGGGCTCCGTATGATGACGTGGCCTAGACATTGCGGTTTCGTCACGATTAAAATTTAAAGGTGTGCAACCGGGGTTAGAACTCTCGAATGGCTGAATACCCTTATTCACATTTATATATTGTGGATTTGTTTAGTTTTAATAATAAGATTAGATGTGTATATCATAGAAAAATATATTTTAGGTCGGAATACTCACACTGTGTTTGGACTCATGGGTCAATATTTTACAATTTTTTCCGGACGCTCAAAGGATGATTACTGAACGATCTGAGGTTTTATTCACACAGATATAGGATACTATGAAATAAAATAAATTGTACAAATTGTTTTCATTTATCCTGTATATCCTATCCTTTATATTATCCTAGATATAAGAATACTTATTAATTGCACATTACTTAAAATTATTATCTATGACGTGGCAGGAATCATATAAGTGATATGTGAAGGCATATATCTATACCACAATTCTTTTATATGTGTGAGACATACAAACATTGCTAATCACTATTACGGTAAACATGTTAGCGACAATTTCATTGACATTTTACGGCAAGTAGATGATCAGCCATGTATGTACCAATACCATGTATCAATCCGAAACCATTAATGGTTTGTCAGGAATCTACTTCTGTAGCTTTAGGTACTTCGTCACGTGTGTTGACTACTACGTTATGGAGATGGCAAGAACTTCCCGCAAATTCCTCCAATAAAAATAAGATAAGTACATTAGGCCCTACTTTCGGTAGGTAAAAACAACTTTTATAAGAAATTTATCAAATTTCCCAGCGAGTAAAATATTGCTAAGACTGAAATATTTCGCTACTCAAAAGTTCTTAATAAGTTCTTTTGAAACTTTTATTTTAAGAGTGATGAGCAAGCGAAAGGAATTAGAAAGAAGTTCTGCTCTTGACAGAGTTATATTATAAACACTTTTTTAAATTGTTGTGACAAATAATTAAAATAATAATAGAAATAACTTGCCTACAAATGTTTGGTGATCGTAGTCACTCACAGTTAATTAAATAATGTGTTTGATTCGCGAATGTGTAATAGCGTAAACCTAAGACGTGTCGGGCTTCTCTTGATGTCTTTCTCTCCGTTCAACCAAGTGATTTGCGTTGAAAAATAATTTGTAGGTCCACGCTCACCACGTTCACGTCGTTGCAAGTTTAAAGTTGTTGCGCTTAACCACAAAGCTACCGCGCTCTTATATAAACAGACATTTCGTATCAACATATGATTTCTATGCGCGCAATTAACATGGTAAGGTAGACATCGTGAGGAAACCAGCATGATTTACACCCAAATTTCCGACTTGTGTCCGGTACAGACTAATCATCTTACATAAAGAAAATGATTCAAGAATACATATCGCGACTATAACAAATGGTTCTTGAGGCACTGAATTATAATTATTATAAATATCAAATACAAGCAATAAAAGCGGAAATTCAATTTTTCCTTAAATTTCTTATTATATTGTCAAATAGCACAACAAATTGAAGAATTGAATCAGTTTTAATTATAAATCCCATTATATCTCCTTCCTTTATTCCTTTTGTATTTCAAACAAGAACATTTAAGAACGTAATTAGTATTTTTTAAGTATAAGCATGAGGCTGGACGGCAAAAAAAAAAAAAAAGATAAGACTCTTTAATAAATTTTATATATTATTGTTACATATATTGCTGTAATAATATAATTCAATAGAATCGTTAAAAGTAACAATGAAGTAGTTTGTTAAAGGTTATACAGTAAATAACAGTACTAAAACACTAAGAAATTCCATACACCCTAAATACTTATAAGTTATAACCAAGTAAAATCAAGCTGCTTTCCACAGTAATATTAATAATACAGGCCGAAATAAAAATCACAATACCTACAATCTTTTGTTTTAAGCTGTACAACTGCTATTTACGTATATATACGAATATCTAAATGAGATATAAAAAGTTTCAACGAGGAACAAACTTAACGCTTGCACCGTCAATGGGTGCCAGTACAATGCTGTATGGGTCACTTTTTAGTTCATACGGCATTATTGGCTCAATTCTAAAATTGTGCACAATTTTAACCAATGCCGTTTTCAATTGTAGCATTCCATAACGTTTACCTGAAAAAAAAAAATATATGAATTTATGATTTTTACAACGAAAAATTTATTTTGCATCAGTACAATGCTATCAAATATTTCCCCGAAAGTGTTCATAAATACCAAAGTGAAACATTGAAAACTGTAAATAATGGAACAATAAAACTAGTTTGGTTGGACTTGAATTTCGTAATAAATTTTAAACTATTTATAGTTTATTAATACATTGGAGAATATTTAATTATGTTCATTACACGCTCATGAAATCATATATTTACGTCATCCCCACGGAAAAAATATAAAGTTGTACATTTATTCCATTTTCTTACAAAAACTGTCTCTGTTTTAACACCATACCTTTACCTATTCAAGATACATATATTTACCTATACAAGAGCGATGCCCTTCGCCGAAAGGTAGGAACGTATAATTTAATGCGTCGAATTCTGATGACGTTAAAAACCTTTCTGGACGCCATTCATTCGGTTCCGGAAAGAATCGCTCATCATGATGAAGAGCAGCCACATTTACCATGATTGGAATTCCCTTTTCCAGGACTATGTCATCTGTTAACTGGTAATCATTAACGGGAACTCTATCCAAGTGCTGTAATGGTACACATTTTCTTAACGTCTCTGAAATTTTTCAATTATTGGTTAATATCCTATTCTGAGAGAATCGTTAAATCTTGAAACGGCTTATAGTCGAACTATCTACTAAAACCAGTACTAAAGCTTTATTTCGGATACCCCAATTTCTTTTAACAAATACAAAAGCAAAATTTGCAACATCGTGATTCATATTTTTTAAAAATCCAGTTGAAACATACTGGCATGATTCATAATCAGATTTTATATGATCGCGATACCGATCAAAAGACACAAAAAAAAAAAAAAACAAAGAGAAAAAACCCGCATTGCGATTCATTGTGTCAATTTTAGAAACTTTATTGTGAAGTCTGCTTATATATTATTAATTACTGGTTACTATAATTACTAGCTCCTATTAACCATTTCTATGAATTTTTGTGTTACGCATAGATGTTGTATTATTATTATTAAAATCGACTCTGTCAGCCATAACCAAAATACATTTTTCGAATATTATTCGTGTAGTAATTACATTATTGTGTCAAATCGACGTTTACGCATACGCGATGAAAACTATTAACTAGTTTATAGCTTGTTACTACATTAAATAAATATACAATAACGTAGATAAACTCGAATTAATTATATTGTTCACACATCTCGACGTTTAGAGTGCATTAATGCTTAGCAGCAAGATCACCTATAATGTTATATTTGCGTTTAAAGAAGTTTTACTTCAATATGTATTACTCGTGGTATAATATTAATGTTTTCCTACCGTTGATAACTGCAATCAGGTACTTCAGTTCGGATAATTCAGTGTAGTCGAGAACGTTCTTTCCAGATCTACGTAGAACATCATTTATTTCATTATATAGCTTTTCCTGTAAAGAGCATTTAATAAAAGAAACAATTTATTTTTTGGTTGATAAAAAATTGCAATTAGCGAAAACGAAAACGCATTTAATTATCGCTTTAATATTACAAAATTTAACTTCAAAAAGAACTAATCGAAGAAATATATTACGAATTGATAAACTCTTTCTTCGAACAGTTCTTTTGTTTTCTAATTACTTTGAAGATTAAATACAAAACTGTACAAATTCCAAACCAATAATTTGTCTACGTTGTGTTATTCGTCTAATACAGCAGCGCTACAATACTTTACAGATATTCGCCTAAGATTTCGTCAGTTTTTAATCATTTTATAAGTGCACAAGAATCACACGATCTCAGGTTTGAAAGTCTCTCGCTCAAACTAGTAGGCTAACACTGCTCTTCTGCCTGTTTAATAAACTATTTAAGGATAGTAGCTTAAATGAAGGTCAAATTTCATATGAAATGTCTATGCAATGTCAATCAAGTTATTTGTTGACGTCCACGGTGTCCGTCGACTTTTATTACCTGTTCTTCCTGATGATATGCCAGCTCGAAAATTGTGTATGTAAGTGTGACAGTGGTGGTTTCAATAGATGCCATTATAAATGCAGCTGCTTGGGACAACATCAAGTTTTCACTTAAATCTAAAAAAGTGATATATAAACTGAGCGATGTCATAATTTGTTTTTATTTATCTGTTAACAAAATCAAAATGTCTATGTAACTTGACGTTGCAGCGTCCTACGTACAAAATATTTCCAAATTTAAAACAGCTTAAATATTTAAACATTTATCTCATTTGTAATTAAAAATAATTATTTCCGATAATTGTTGTATAGTAATTATAAATTTAAAAATGAATTTTACGTCGCCAACGTGTTTTTAAACTCATCATTTCCTGTGTTAAATTATAAAAATTAAATGATAAAATTCTTTAAAGGTTATTTTTTGTTGTGCGTAGCGAAAATTTATTTTAAAGTTGTAATATTATATAAGGTATTCAAACACTGCTCTAGAAAATCCACAACGTTATTTCTCATAGTCCATGTTACATCGCGGCCACTATTCTCTAATAAGTTATAAACATATTATGTAATTACTTATTTTAGTTTCTTGCCCCTTAAACTACGTGAATTTATAATTTATTTATTTATAGCATAAATAGGCAAACTTTAACTAAAAATATTTCAGTTTATAGAATCAGTTTTAATTATACATTACATAATTAAAACTGATTTTTGTACAATTACCAAAAAACCTTTTTCGATACATAATTTTTTTCTAAGTAGGTGAACGAGTCTAACACACAGCAAATAGGTTATGTTTCCGGCGTTGGTGATAATTGTCGGAAACGTACAAACGTAAAAAGGCGTAATATATTTAATTTATAATCGCGAAGACTATTTTTATCTGGCATATATGTGTATTGTGTAGGTAAATAACTTACCATCATAGCCAATAGCTGCAAATTTATCCCGCAATTTAAGAAAGTAATCGAGAAGGTCAGTGTTGTTTTTCTCTCCGTTTGCTTGGCGTAGTTTCACAACAGACCAAAACATCTTTTTAAATATTTCTGTGGCAGGTCCCGAAAAAAACTTCATCCTAAAATGAAAAAAAAATATTCTTAAACAAAGTAAATCGAAGTTGTATAAAATGATATAAATTACAATATATACTATATTTACTAAATTCTCTATAGGTAGAACATTTCACAATCGTTAGATTTAAGGTTGCAATCGGTGGAAAAAGGGACCGCGTGTAAGAAATAAAAAAATATACCTCAACGCTTCTGCTAGACTCGGTATAAAGAAAATCGTCAAAATCTCCATCCCTCTAGAAAAATTGCATTTAGTAATGTGACTAGTGATGTCCCATAATGGTGATTTCTCTCCCTTCAATGTACTTAGGCGAAGGCCGAAGACGCTAAACGCTAGAGTGTCTGTGACGTACATGGTCATAAGTTTCTAAAAAGTAGTATTAATAAAATTATAGGTTCAATTTATAAGGATTATTTATATTTAGCAAGTAGCTAAAGATACGACATAAAACCTCTTTGTTTAAATTTAGAATTTAAAAATAAGGTATAACTATATACTAAATAATAATAAGACTTGCTAAATATAATTAATAATACCTATCTTATCTTAGTCGGAAAAAGTAGTATTGCATACTTCGATATATGAATGTTATCTATGCAGTTCATAAAGGTCATGATAAGACCGCATCGGTACTTTATAACTTCAATATGCGATTGCGATTGTGATCCTGACGCTTTTGTATAATTTAGATGTCACATTTGGTGAATTTTGAACTCCAATAAGTATTGGGCATATGTATGGAGCATGAACCTTTATAGGACAACCAGGCTTTTGTGCCTTGCTGTGCCAATAATGATTAATTCTAGGCTATGAAGGCCGTGTACTTAATTTTTCTTAAATATAAATAAGCTACAGATTATATGAATTAAACTAGTATAAAATTACCTTTATATTAACCCGTTTCCCTTGTTCGACGAAGTCTTTTTGAATTTTTTCTTTCAAGTCCTGAGCATTGATGTTCATTAATGTTGTGACCGTTTTTAGACGAGCCGTTGTGAAGAGTGGAGAGTACGCCTGCTGTAGATCTTTTCTTAAACGACCCTGCGTAAAAATGATTATTATTATTTTTGTTTTGCATTGAGGTGAATTGAGTGACCTGAAAGAATCATATAGCAAACGTAATTATAACAATGTCTGTTTCACCATACCGAAATCAATAAATATAGTTTCTCCAAACCTAGGACCCTTTGTATATGGAAATGGCTACAGATTTGGCTATTACATTTCACTTATTGTTTTGTATTTCTAAACATGAAATTTGTATGTCGTTATAATTGTCTTTTAATTTAAACAAATTACAAATATTAACCAGTTACAGTATATTCCTTATTCTGAACTGAGACTCCAGTTTATATTGGACGTCAAATTGTTAAATTAATATCATCACTTGTTCTGTATAATTTATATTAAGTAATTAAAAAACCTGTATTGTAACAATTTCAAATTAAGAACTTTTGTCCATGTAACAAGCTACAAAGATGCAAGGAACGAAGAAGGTATCAAATAGCCACTTCTTCCTTGTGTGTTTAAAACAAAAACCTAGGATTGTATATAAATCAAGCTACAGAGGCGGATATCTTAAACTTAATGTTAAATAATAACACCGAAACATAATTAAAAGTAATACTTAATAACCTTATAAAATATAATATAATGACTGAAATATATTATTAAAATGAGTCCCTTTAGGTAAGGTTCCTAAGATACTCGCAGCGTTCCCCGTTTGAATAGCTAGACTGATTCTTTGTGCGAGGTAGCTGCCAGCTCTTTGGTCTTCTGTGTTGTCGAGTAACCTATTTGCTATATCCTTAAAAAGCCTTATAGCGCTAGGACCCAACGGACCAAGGGTCTCGACACCGAATGGGACAAAATCATATTCGGAGCCCTTTAATTTAATTCAAAATAAATTATTAAACATTTGTTTATTTAGCATTAAGCAATACACATAAAATCGAATTTTGAATTTTATAATATTTATGAGTTTTTCTCAAAATGCTGAACATCGCGGTCGTATACAATTATCATAAAACGTGATAAAAAATCTGTTATTACGGTTTCACATAAAATATCTTAACAAACTGTAAAAAATAAAATTGTTTATAATTCCGCGTGTATCGCATATTTAACCTCTTATTGCTTACCTTACTGACAAATAAATTAAGCGATCCAATGGGATCACCAACAGTCCCAGAATAAGTAAATCTATGTTGAAAGCAATCGGCATCAACAAGAACCTTCTTCGCAAGCTCCGGGGACTGTACCACCAAGCCTGGCTGAAGCCCCAAATATATTCCGACGCAGTCTTGAGGAAATTTCTTTTTCAAATCGTAAAAGTACTCCCAAAAGCTCTTTCTCATGAAAAAGCTAAAATTTCCAACAATAAACCGAGGTTCTTCGTGCACTATGCCCCGATCCTTCCAATAGTTATACCGCTTACGAATTGAGAAGTAAATGTAACTACATATAGCAATGACAAACAATGTAAAAAGGCACAAAGTCAACATTATGAGCGACTTGTCTTGATGAAATTTTGCCGTAATATAATGTTATTCTAGCTGATTTTAAAAGCCTGAAGTTGGAAGGTAATTAAATAACGTACAAATGTTTCTATCTCACTCTGTATACTTTTAAGATTGAGATGTCAAGTCGACTGGTGGTTTCTTATCGGTTTTTTTTAAATTTAAATACGAGTATGCAATATAATAATGTGCAATTTAAAGTTACACAACTAACTGCTTTAGTTGTTAATGGTTTCAAAGCGTGCATGAAATCTAAAATAAACTTAAATTAGATTGATTAAACAAGATATTATTCAAATCAAAATATCATTTATGTAACTTATTGAATTCTTTTGAACGTCAGAAAAAGATCGGATCTAAATACGGAAATGAAGATTAAGCGAAGTATGTTTTGAACATCCAAGTCCCGAATGAAGACAGAATAGCAATTTAGTTAGTAGCACGGAATTGTGTAGTTATAATACGTAGTGCGTTTTCAATCCAATTTTAAAACGTAACATGCACCCTTTAAGCAAATAATTTGAAACAATAATCGTGTTTAGTCAACAAAAAACAACTTGATACATGATAAAAGCAAAAAACGATTTTCCTAAATTAGAACGTTTAATAACAATGATTTGATTAACTTTTATAATTATTAATTAATAGCAAGATAAATTAGGGTTTAGAAGCTATTAGTTTTTAATTATAAATGTTGCTTTATACTGTTATTGTTCCTTCTGGGGTTTTATTCACAAAAAATAAATTAGATATATAGTTTTGTACTTTGTTTTCCATTGTAGATTTAGAACTAATCAGCACAAAGTATGATTGAATAGGTAAAAATTCATGTAATGTCCATGTTTTTTAAATTAGATGTACTTATATTGTATTTTAAGACGTCATTTATTTTATCATATCCGAAAGGTAATATTTAATTCTAAAAAAAAATTTAGATGGTTTTCATGTCGTTGAAAATAGCGATCCCTGAGAAAGGTTAAGGTGAAACTAATTTTGGTTTTATGTATATTGACTGAATAATAACGACTATGTTTAAAAGATCGCAATAAATCTTGGAAAAAGCATGAAATTTACGTAACTAAACTAAATTACTAATTATTTGTATGAGAAAAAATTTATAAGATAACAGAGAATAATAGCAAGAATTTGTTTTTTTTTTGTTTAAATTCACCACAGCCACAATATATTTTCCTTGCAAAATTATTACATTTATAATGACGTAATTAGTTTTTGTTGTTGACTTATATAAAACACAATGCAATTTCAATGTCATGTATTTAATTTCCAAAATTTTTTGTTGAGCTTACCGAGAAACAAACACAACACTTGCACCATCAATGGGAGCCAATACGATGTTGTATGGGTCACTTTCTAGTTCATATGGCATTACCGGCTCGATTCTAAAATTGCGCACAATTTGGGCTAATGCTGTTTTCAATTGCAACATTCCATAACGTTTACCTGAAATAAAGTAACAGATATATAGAAATTTATACCTTGTGAAGTTCAAACAAACATAATTTCAAATCATAATTATTTTCTAAAAAGTCTGCGATAGCATCGAATGATTATTATGATAAAATATAAATTTTGAAATGTGCTTCATTATATAAAACATGGTACAGTTGTCTATTTATAGGATAAATTTTCTATCTAGTATCAATGGTTCCACGTAGTGATGGTACGCAGTAGAAATTGCCTTAAGAAACGCTCAGTTGTGGAACGACGGACGTCAAGGTGATACGGATGGTATTTTGTATTCTGCCTTGACGTCCGATGATAAAACACAGCTGCAGGTATTAGTCCGAAAAACTTCTCTGAACACTCTCATGGTAAATGCGGTAGAAGCTGCAGAGAGATCCCACATCTCTACGCAACTCCGAGGGATCAAGCCGCTCGGAAAGTGACTGGTTGTCGACGATTCGAATCGATCTTTGTTGAATACGTTCAAGCGGAAGGAGCTATGTATATGATTGTTTAAGCATATCATACTTACGTTGGAAGTTACTCTTCCATTCTTATTTATCTACTAGCTTTACCCCGTTTTACCCAGTACCCGGTAGCGTATCAGAGCCTTGTTGGACATTGACTATCTAACACAAAATAATTTTTCAATTCTAACCAATAGTTTTTTATTAGGGTGTTCTGTCAAACCAGCTAGCTTTATTTATTGGTAGTTAGTATTGTAACAAATGTCTTTACCTATACACGAGCGTAGCCCATCTTCAAAAGGCAAAAATGAGTAATTGAAAGTGTCGAATTCCGATGACTCTAAAAACCTTTCTGGACGCCATTCATTCGGTTCCGGGAAGAATCTCTCATCGTGGTGAAGAGCAGTCAAATTTACCAAGGCTGGAATCCCCTTTTCCAAGACTATATCTTCTGTTAATTGGTAATCTCGAACTCTGTCCAAATGCTGTAATGGTACACATTTTCTTAACGTCTCTGAAACATTAAAAGTCTTTATTTTCTAATCATATATATTGTATATAAAATAATTCAGAGCAGCTTTCACGCTTCAAATTTTGCGTTCAAACTAATGGTTTTTGGAATTAATGTTTGTTCAATCAAAGACTTGCTTTGAATTAACAATCGTTATATGATTAATTAAAAAAAAACTATCAAGGAAAAAGATGACTGTCTTTCTATTATCACATATAGTGTATATACTTACTACATACTTATACTTACGCACAACGGACCTAATGGGCGTCTAAGTACGGAAACTGAATCCACCAAGCAATAGTATATACTCGTATAATAAGTGCATGTTTATTGAATAGAGACACACATATAGAAAGAAGTAGGAAGTTGAGACACCCCATGAAGTCTCCCTCATGAAGATATTAGTAGCTAATCTTAATTTGTGACTGAGGTGCATAGTGTGACCTCTATCAACAGTCATCTACACAAAGTACGGGTAGGTGTTTGCTCGGAACCAGCAGTGTCAAAAGCATTTACAGTGACAAAGGGTAGATAAAAAATTTATTTTTAGCAAAGTAGCAGAAAATAAACCAATCGTCGAAATTTTTGTCTAATTCGCGTAATTTTCTTGATTCCCTCGATATTTCTTCGATATTATTATTTTTAGTGAATTTCCATTTTTTATTTGCAAAATATTAGTAGAAAAGTATTATATTCGCACTTCCGCACAATTGTTTGATTTTTTTATATTTCTCGTCACGATGCACTAAAGGTTTTTAAAGCTTAATTATAAAACGTATATGCATTTATTTAAAAGATTTGTTTGTTTGTAATAACTCTAAATTACACACAACCAAAAATACTGTTTCATATTTTTTCCAAATGCTAAAACAATGGATTTTGATCATTTAGATTCTAAAACAAATATAATCACTTTATTTACATCACAAAACAAGTAATGAAAAAAGTAAACGAAGGATGTACATGTTTATTATTTTAAATTACCTTTACGCCATAACATAAACATTATAATATATTTGCATAAAATAAAATTTGCAGGTAAAAATTAAGTTGCTTTTTGTGCCCCTAAAATCAGTTTTATTAAAGTATATTTCTTACCGTAAATTACTGCAGTGAGGTACTTCAATTCGGATAATTCAGTGTAGTCGAGAATGTCCTTTCCAGAGCGACGCACTGCGTCGTTTATTTCATTATATAAAATTTCCTAAAAAATACATTTTATGTTCAGTTTAAATACAGAAAGCATAATGATGGTACTTTAACATTTATAAAATTGGTTCCGAGTTAGCAGTTGGGCGAATTCAAGAAATCTTAAAGTTTCTTATTTCCAAATAGCTTATTACTAATTCCAAACTTTAAAAACATTTTATGAGAAGTATATTATTCTTTAGCGTATGCCGTCTGCGTTCTAGTAACAGCCCACATTCTACTGGAGTCAGTGGTATAATTTTCTATTTATTAGTTAAACATATTATGTACAACATTTTCCACAATCACCAAAAATTGCGTGCCTTTAATTAGCCACAGACCTTGAAAAAAAATGTCACAATCATTATTGAGGCTCTTCGAATCGCTTAAAGTATGTTTTCTTGCCATATGTACCTACTTCAAAAGAAAAACAGAAGTCCATCCAATTTTCGTACCCTCCTAAATTCTTATTTGATAAACAAAAGAACGAATAAAAAAGATTATTCCACGTTATTATGTGATTGTCTAGGTTTTGTGCCCAGACTAGAAAGTATTTAGGGAACTAGATCTGTGCAGATTACAACAATCAATAGTCAAAGGTGACACACTAATTAATGAAGGGCAAAAACAACTGTCATGAAAGTTGACAAAATATATCTCTTTCTTAGATTGCACTGCATTGTAAATCAATATGGATTTGAAATTATACATTTAAATAATATTATTAGACTGATACATCGAGATTATTCATTAACAAAATGTTAAGTGCAGCATTTTTAAGGTGCGTATAGACTATATAACATAACATGTTATACAACATTGCTATACAACATGTTTCAGATAATGTGGACACTGAATGTTATAAAACATGTTATTGATATGTATGCTAGGACGAACCCAGCATCTACGTTTTTTGTTTTTCTTTTGTTATTTAATATGGTTATATAACATTGTTATATTGCATTGTTTTTCTAATGTGTACAGTATTGTTTTATGTTATAATGTTGAATAACAAGGTTACATAATGTGGACGTGTTATAAAACACAAGTTATATAATATGTTACATAGTCTGTACGCACCCTAAGGTGAAACATGGTTAAAATGGTATCATCTGGCACTGACATAAGAATATTTTTGGATTCTCATTAATTAGCTTAAAACACCTTGGAACATGACAGTTGGGTTGTCATTGTTGTATTTGTCCTATTAACCATAACAAGTCTTTTACTTGTTATGGTAAATAGACCCATTTTTATTACCTGTTCTTCTTTATGATATGCCAACTCGAAAATTTTGTGTGAGTAAGTGTGACAGTGGTGGTTTCAACAGATGCCATTATAAAAGCAGCCACTTGGGACAACACCATGTCTTCGCATAGATCTAAACAAAATTATGTTATAATACTTTATGAAACAAATGCCATATGCATTTGTTTAATATAAGGTAATAAGTATGGTTTTACACAAATTATTCAAAACTAAGAAAATTTACAGTCATCTTTTAATTTTAAAACTGTTAAAAGGTAATTACATTTACGATTAAATTAACTGTCATAGTGTAATTAAATTAAATATTTAAACAGACTATTGATTTTTAAAAAGACAATTTTAATTAAAGCGTAAAATATTTATCGTCTGTTTAAATACTCTTGTTATCGGCTACATGCAGTTTTTTATTAGCATAATGAATATTGATTAGGCGACTTTATTAATTTATTTTTGAAATGATCATCAAAGACGTAAAGTGCATTTTCATTTTAACTATCATTTTATTACTTGAATCGAATGTGACAAAATTAATATTTTTTAGAATTATTGTCAAGTAAAGCTTACATTGTTGATTATTTAAATGCCTAACCTATGCAAAACCTATGCTTAAAGAATGTTTGTAATATAAAAGTATAAACAACGAACATTTTAACGTGCTAACAATCAAATTTTCCTTCACTGCGTATACGTAAATTGATAGAAAGAGTTCCTTTGTTAAAGAAATTAGACTGATTTATGTTATATGAATAAGGGGGTGCTAATTGTACTCATTACTAAAATAGGCGGAAATTATAAAGTATTAGTTGGTATATAATTAAAACCTCTTCTTAAAGAGCTCTTCTACAAAAATACCGAGAGAGGAAACGAATGCTAAGGCGCATTGTCTGGATTCTGATGACGCCTCACGTAGCACCAATATTGATTTACGATCCTTACACCGGTATCAATCTTGTGTCAGCGGAATTATTTGCGCTCGCAATGGAGTGGGTAAATTGATTGAAATTATTCGATATTTACTATGAGTAGTAGACTCCACTAAACGCTTATAAAACTACAACAACTAGTTTTTAAATGACATTTACGCAACGCCTAACTTTGCAGATAAATGAACGAGACGTGAAAGAAAAGTGCGATTTTACTATGTTTTATTTTCATATGCATAGCCTCGCAATACAATTGTTAATTGTTGTTTTATATTGTCTATGTCAAGTAATTCCTATGAATATTTTTGTATTGGAAGGAAAACTAACCTAAGATTTAGGAGGCGCATAAAGATATTATGCAATAATAGTAGTAACTAACTCTTGGTTACTATTTAACTTTACAAATGACTTTTATAGTATTACGTTTAAAAAATTGTAGTTCGACAGCAAACATCTTGATAAAAAAAATTAAAATAATATACACCAGTGGCACTACAACCTTTTCAGGTCTGGGGCTCAGATTTCTGTATCTGCTTCATAATCATTAAATGTCAATCTAAAGAGAGTGGCAGAAAGTGTATTGCCAGTTATTTTTTCTTTTCCGTTCTACGCCTTTGATTTGAGAACTGGCAGTAAATGTAAAATTAGAAGCATTTATTATAGTTTTTTTATGTTAACATTGTGTTACGTTAATAAATAAAAGATTTTGATTTGTTTTTATTTGATCTAATAGGCAAGTAGGTAATCAGCCACCTGTGTCTGAAACACGCCGTCTACTTTTTAGGTCTAAGGGAAGGCGGTTTCTTCAGAATGTTTTCCTTCACCGTTTGAGCGAATGTTAAGGGACTAAACACACTTATTCAGCTCCATTCGCGTTTCGCTGAACGATTTTGGTCACATTTATACAGCTCTGCTTCTATCAGTCGTGTACGGCGTCGTAAGAATGAGAAAAGCCATCATAGCGTGCGACGTTGAATGCGGCGGAACAGCGCTGAATGCATTCTATAGCAGACGCATAATAAAAACACATTTATCCTCATTTTATACTTATTTGCCGCGAAAGCTGAATTGACGTGGAAAGCTGAATGGATGCGTACGCCTCTCCATACAAAATCGTTGTTTTCTACACACAACAAACGCTGAATAGAGCTGAAAAAGTGTGAGTAGACCCTAAATGCGCACATAGACAGAAAGTCCATTGGTGCACAGCCGGGTATCGAACGTGTATTCTCAAGGATAATGATGATGATTAAGATTAATATTATGACAGTACCTTGCCAATTCATTTATGAAAATATTATGTATGTAAGAATGAATCTACATCTTTTTAGTAAAATAAATGAAAGACATAATTTTAGTACTAGAAATAAAGATAAAATAGCTCAACCATCTTTCAGATTAACCAAAGTTCAAAATTCATTTATGGGGTACTGTGTGAAATGTTACAATAAAATACCTTGTGACATTTTAAAACTAACTGAACGAAAATTTAAATGTTTTATTAAAAGTACACTTTGTAAACAAGCATATTACAAATTAGATGATTATATTCAAGATAAGAATGCTTGGAAACATGCTGGTCCTGCTCCATAGGACAATCATAGAGCCTGGATAAAATCAAATTGGTTGCTGATTTTTTGCTTTAACATATTTTTGTTATTTTTTTTTAAATTTATAATGCTACAAATGTAATTATTTTATTGTACCTCACACACTGTTTTGTTGTGTTTTTTAATATTTTTATTACTCTTTAATGTTAATATTCTACGGTTTCGATATTTGTAAATATGTGAGGTATACATGTTCCTCACATATTTACAAATAGACTGACTTTTTTAGTGTAGTAGTTTATTCTAAGAGTACATTGTCTTCACATATAATTATTTAACAAATGTAACAAAATATTGTAAACCTATTTTAAAACAGTAAGTGTGGAGTTTCTTGCCCATTCTTCTCCACACGAAACTACCTTTTGTAAGGGGCAACTAGAATCTTCTCTGTATTTTTTTTGACGTTCAAAAGTGCCATTTGAGATGGTCTAATTGAAATAAATGATTTGACTTTGACTTTGATGTTCAACTGAATCGTCTTGATAATTAAAATTAAAAGTATATAATATTTGTGAAATGACGCGTACCAAATAAGATAATTATATAATTGCATAACCATGTTGGATCTCGTTCCGTTCAGACTACAGAACATTCAAACTACCCTAATCTCTTTTGAGCAAAGTTGCACTGTATAGCTAGTATAATATTGATAATACATTTAGTACAAATCATAATTTTGCTTAAATATACATTGGTGTCATTAACTGATAAGGTTTTTTTTATATAACAAAACCAATTAATTTAAGAAAATGAACATTAGTTTTCAATTTTATTTACCTTAAGCCCTACATTATACAGAATATTATCATTTACAAGTGGCACGCCATATGAAGTCTGGCGCAATAAAAAATCTAATTTTCTTATATTGACGCTGTAGCCAAATGGAGGCAATATCGAAGTGCTGATTTGTCGCTCCGGTGAATATCGCTCTGGCGTTGATTCAAATCGACGAATGCGCCCGGTGAAAATTGAGCTTGCCTAATTCTTGTTACAATTTCGTGCTTTTTACTTGGCTACAAACACACATATTAAGTAATTAAATGTGATATTTTATTTATTACATACGTAGGACTCCTACAACTTGTAATATAATAAAGAACAATTATACTAAACATATGGGATACACATTATATACTGGGTTAAACATTTGGACATTATAACTTAGGAAAATTGGTGTGTCGAGTTCCAATGCTGGGAGAGGGTGAAAACTAAAAAGACGCCATTTAGATTTTCATAAAAAAAAATTGCAATACAAAGTTAGGAATATAGCCGTTAAAAACCTGTATTTGAACCCCACTTGTGCCTTGGATGAGCATGTAAAGCTCCTTGTTGACACACGTCCCACAATAGTATAGTAATTATTTTAACTAAAGTACTCTTTCGTCTCTTTCTGTCAAATTGTGTTTCAGTCGCGATGAAAAGAGACAGATGAGGACTTCAGTTAATAGTGTGCATTTACACTGGTATCTCATACTTCTAACATATATCGTATATCAGAATCTCTCGAGGTATTTAGTGTTTTGTTCGATTGTTTTTTCTGTTCTGATTTGAACAGAAAGACTTAAGCAGGCGATTTAAAATAAACTTTTAGTATTCATCTTAGTTTATCCAACTTAATTTCTAGGATATTTAATGATTTCCTAAAGCATTTAATTTAATCGAAATGAGAAATTCAAAGATGTTTCAATAAATTGAAAGTTTAATCTTACTTAAAGCGGGTTTTTAGACGCATTCATCAAGCGCTGAAGGTTTTTCGTATTTTATCATTATTTTTTGCGTTTGCAAAGGCAGATGACGTTGAGGCATGTGGAAGATTAATCTAGTCTGCGGGCAGATGTTGCGGTGAGATGGGGGAACTGGGGGAGGGGGGGGTTAAGTGTCCGCGTCATTTAGTTCAGCATTATATCAAGCTTGCTCGACGCGTTGAAATTAAATCAGACTCATTCCACTGATTCATTGCAATCATTACTCATTATACAATGCTACAAATTGCTCGTATAAATTTTATTGCTATTGTACAAGCGGTTCGGGATTAAAACGACCTATTAAGCCCTTGTCAAGGTAGATTCTGTTAAAATACCAAGTATAAAACAACGCCTGGCAATGTGGAACAATGTGTAATGGTTGTAGGTCGTTACAAACATTGTGTAAAACAAAAAACCTGGCGTTTAAAAAGAGTGGCGGAGAGTTTATTGCCAGTTCTTATCTTCTGTTCTACGCCCTTTATTTGAGAACTGGAAGTATATGTAAAATTAGAAGCATTTAATATACATTTCTTTTCGACGTTCGAAAGTGTACAATGAATAATTAATTAATTTACCTATATGAATAAACGATTTTGATTGTGAATTTTTTTAATATAAACAACTGGTTGCTGGATATAATTTTTTGTAATTAGTTCCTTAACCAATGTTAATTATTTGTCAAGGCCTCCAATATGAGTTTGAATAAACATAATCTCGTAAGTTGAGCGGAACTAAGTAAAACTAATATTTTTCATATAAATAAATTGCGCGGACTGAAAATAGGATTTTTAAATACAATAATTGATTAAGCGATATGACGTACTTTTCTAAATTATGTACACATGTAACTCGCTTTCATACATCAAAGGTATAGTTTTTTTATTAGTGTATTGTACAGTCATAGTTTATTTGAACACAGTTTTCTAAAATGTTTATTTTTTTTAAAGTTTCTGGTGATTTTAGTTCACTTATAAAATATTTTATCAATAAATTCAGCAACAGCGAAGTGACAATTAAGGGGCAACAATTATGTTAATGACATTTTGTTATCGACGTCCTCAAAAATAGTTGACATTTTTCATAACACCAAAAACAACAACACAACACGAGAACTCGCGTCAAGTAAGTAACGTAAGCGTAATTTTTAAAAGTAATTATTATTTTATACTTCTACTCGTACAACGATATAAAACATTTTTGTTCCGATACAGTGGAAAGTGACAGTAAAATTAGGAAGATAGTTTCGACTGGGCTTCTTACAAAATTTTTAATCATAAAATTTACATGGAGAGGATTTTGTTCAAGAAAAATTTGACTGATAAAATTGATATTTAATATATTCGATTTGGGTCTTCAAAATGAATTAAATCTAGATCTAAAAACAAATGCTGTGAATCGTAAGATGATTTTGGCCCATTTGGAACTGATAAAATAAATTTAGTTTCTTATTCTAAAATTTCTAAAATTCTACATAATTTATATAGAATTAATATTTTAATTAGTCTAAGGACTGTAACTTTGAAAATATGAATATACGAGTATCAACGCTGCTAATTTGCGTCATCAACTAATCAGTATATTGAAAGATAATATATAATTTTTAACTATTTTATTTAAATTGTCTTTACAATATAAATAATAGGAAATAGAAAAGGAACCCATTCACAATATAACGCCCGTAGTACTTGACCATTACCTTGTTGAGAGGTTATATTAACATGATTCAACATATCTTAAAGACACCCTTCAGCACTATAATATAAAATAGAAATATATGAATTGGGACGAGACCCTATGACGTATACAACAGTTTTTGCAATATGACCTTTTCTAATAACTGATGGTTTAAAAAACTAATTAACCCTAATAATTACGAGAGAAAGACGATTTAATATAATTCCAAGTAAATTGGAAATCCATGCGATACAGGAAATAAGGAGAATTGAAGTTTATTTTCTCTTTAATAAGTCTATCGATTAAAATGATGAATTTACATTGAACAACATTTTAGTGAATGAAAAGAAGGACTAGTACTTTTTGATAAGATATCATAAAGTACATAAATAAATGGTAAAAAACATAGTTAAATGGTTAAATATTCACTATTAGTTTAGGTAAGTTAATAATAGAATATTTCATATATTCGCCGTCGTTCCACAACTAAGGCAGTTTTTGTCGGGCACCACCACTATGTGAAACCAGCTGCTCACTCAAGTATTTCCCAACCAATTCGACTTAGGGTCCTTCAAGAAAAGAGCGTACCAATTCTTGAAAGGCCGGCAACGCACTTGCGAGCCTTCTGGCAATGCGGTATCACTTAACATCAGGTGAGCCTCCTGCCCGTTGGCCTCCTATTACATAAAAAAAATATATGTATTTGTAACGAAGTGCCCTTAATTTCGTTTGTGTGAATTTAAATATTATTTCGCTGGCTAGCCTATTTGAAAAAAAAAGATAAATCCACCTTTTTATTAACATTTTGCTATGCAGTTTTTAATAGGCGGATAATTATATTAATTGCCTCTGTAGAAACGTTGAAAATATCTCCTAAACAATTACATTCTAATATGAATAATAGAATGCTCTTTTACTTTTTTGCACACAAGCATTTTTGTAAAAGTTTAATAAATCTGCACACATAATAATTTTATCCAAAAATAGTTGTCGAACCAAAGACCTTTATCACACGGAGTATTACTATAACATGTATCAAATGTTGGCCATGCTACTGTGGGTTTGGGGTACACTTTGCATTTTTAGTAAACGTTTTTCATCTAAATAAACGATAAAATAGAATATTATATTACGATAGCAGCACAATCCCTTAATAAATTTTGATAAAGCTCATACTTTAAATAAATATTCATTTGTAAGTGAAAATTCGCGGTTCATGAAAATGCTGCATCGCTCAGCGCACGGTCGTTTGTGGAAATGATTTATTATTCAAGTACATCCACAATGCGCAGTAAAAGGCTATATTGGAGGGTAGGCAGAATTCACTATTGCATTTCGTTGTTAGTTGAATACTTATCTCGGTATGCAGTTACTATTTACGGTATTATGTGGGGGCCAAAATTGAGTATTATATACAATCTGTAATGGAAAGCGATCTTTGAAAATTTACACCTAAATTATGACGGTTCATATAATGCTATATGACTTTTAATTGAGAGTGTATACATATAATAAATAGAGCAGTGTTGGCCAAGTGGCTTCGGCGTGCGATACTCATCCCTGAGGCCGTAGATTCGATCCCCAGCTGTGTACCAATGGAATTTCTTTCTATGTGCGCATTTAACATTCGCTCGAACGGTGAAGGAAAACATTTTGAGTAAACCGGCTTGCCTTAGACCGAAAACGTCGACGGCGTGTCAGGCACAGGAGGCTGATCACCTACTTGCCTATTAGATTAACAAATAATCATGAAATACATACAGCCAGACCTAGAAAGGTTGCCACTGATTAATTTGTAATTTTTTATATGACTTTAAATAGTTAGGTCATTTTGCGACGACAAACCAGTTAAAAAGTGGAAAGACGGACCGCGACGCTGATCGCCAACCAGCTGGTATGACCAAGTCACGATTCTCATGGGTGTTCCCATAACAGCTGCGCTAAGGGAAATTATAGACCGAATAAAGTGGAGAGATATCACTAGCAGGGCACCTTACACTGACACAACTTTTAGCAATGGAGAATACGTCTGAGAAGAGTCGTATCGTAAATTGTTTCACATTATGGGAGTCAGTTCAAGACAAACTTTTATCTTACTCTATTTAAATGATTTTAATTAGTGTGAAGATTCGGTTCTCCAGTGAGAGTCTCTATTAGCTAGAGCCTCACTTTTCACATTCGTCAAACAATATTACTCTCATACTCACTAATAATGTTGCCGTAGTATTGAGTTATGATTTTTTAGTTCCAACAGAGTTGAAGCGTTTTTAATATATAGTGATACTCATATTAAAAAATCTTTTGCATAAAACATATTTAAACCATAATTCTAGTTAGTAAAGGGTAATGAACTGCTCTTTAAAACTTTTTGCGTTATTTGCACCTATTTATCGTTCGGCTGGTTTTATAAGTCGATTGAAACGATGCGTGTTCGACATCGACTAATTACCGCATGATAAGTGAGGGTAATGCGTAATATGAAAATGTTGTTTATTTTGCGGGTACAAATCTGTCTATATTATCTCCTATTAGATTTTTCCATTTATAACTTTTTATTTCGAGTATATGAAGTACAAACTTATTTGAGCCGTAAATTATATAAAAATACATCTTTGCTTGTAATTTTATGTATAAATCATCATGGCTTTTATAATTTTCAATTTCGAGTTTCGACGTAAAAATTAAATCGTAGTAAAGTGCCACGCTTTCAGCGTTATCTGTAAGCGCAGACCACTAAAAATTTTCGTATAATTGATGATTAAAATACCACAATTCAAATACGTTATAACATGTACTCCAAAAATCTCTTAAATTAATTAAACATCGTAAATATCACCAGAAGTATCTACAAAATGGTGATGCAATTGGAAATTACTGACAGCTGAATTGCGAACGAC